TTTCCTCTCATGTTTTAACACCCCTGAGATTAGAAAGTATCTTAAAATTGCTACTGAACAAGTGGCAGTTAAGCTATGTTGTCATTACATGGGTGTTCTGTTTTCTAGCTATTGATATTGCTGTCAATTAATTAGGTGGATCATCGATTCTATGTGCTTTGATTTTAACCACTTAAAATGTCTTTTAAAAGATTACATTATGATTTGGCTTCAAAACAGAGGTATTGTGAAATCAGAAAGTTACAGGAACCTGGAAGCAAGAAATACATTTTAGGGGTCCTTGGGTGGCTCAGTTGGCTGGGCATCTGCCATCTGCTCAGGTTGTGATCTCTGGGTTCTGGGATCAATGCCCGCCTGGGATCTTGAGCAGGGAGCCTGCCTCTCCCTCTGCCCCTCTCCCTGCTTGTGCTTCCTCACCCTGTCAAATAAATAAAATCTTAAAAAAAAAACATTTTATATGAGTGAGGCAAATAGTCTTAGAGAAGTATCTGTGATCTCATTTTTCTTGCAGAGTAACAACCAAGTAACTTCTGAGACCTAAGAAAGGAAGATATTCCAGGGTAGGTAAGGCTGTTGCATTTTGTTCCTGAGATACTGCAAAAGATTTTCCAGTGCATTCCCAGTCACACAGCTACCAGCAGGAGGAATCATCAAATAGATGATTGGAATAGAAAAAAGACATTTCAAAGCAATAGCCATGTGAATATGATGGATTCATGCATCTGGTGACAATGTGATTAATTTTTGTGTCATACCTTTAGGTTTTTTTCTTAGGAGTATATAGAGTAATGATGATGCATTTTATAGCCAACAGCATCTTAGATGAAATATGTTAAGTTTTACTCATATGTAAATAGAAAATTCTGGAGGAATTAGATGTTGAAGAGATAACATGCCTGTCTTGTGGGTTTACAAGTGTTTTTTTTTCATCTTTGCCTACTGTTTTTCTATGATGAAGACATTAATTTTAGAAAATAATATTTAGGATCCCTGGGTGGCTCAGTGGTTTAGCGCCACCTTCGGCCCAGGGCATGATCCTGGGGTTCCAGGATTGAGTCCCACGTCCGGCTCCCGCATGGAGCCTGCTTCTCCCTCTGCCTGTGTCTCTGCCTCTCTCTCTGTGTCTCTCATGAATAAATAAATAAAATTTATTAAAAAAATATTTAGCAAAAGTCAGATTTTATATTATTTGTTGAAAAAGAAGTCAAGCAAACAACTAAGAGAATGTGACATAACCATATCCTGCATGCACCCACAGGTGACACGGACCTGCCAAGGCAGGCACTGGCAAGGCCACCCTGGGAGAGAAGACTTCCAGCACCTTGGTTTCAGTCCCAGCAACGTGTAACTTGCGTGTTCCTCAAAGTGAGTCCTATCACCTGAGCTTCACCTCCACCAACTACAAAGTAGGGAGTCTGACGCTCCTTCACAGGGCTGTTAGTTGAACAACTGAGTGAAGTTTCCCATGGATGTTGAATTAAGTTTGTGTGTCTGTTGGGGGTGAGGAAACAGGGGGTTTTAGGTTTAATAACTATGGAAAAAGTTCACCTGACTTCTTGGAAATTTGTATGTACTACTGATGTGCCCAGTGAACTTCTCAGAAGGGCTGCAATGTGAGGAGGCAGCTCGTGGGACCAGTGTCCTGTGTGATGTAGAGCTATATAAATGGTTACCTGTCTGGATCTTCTCCAGGAAGCTTCTAGAAGGTTGACTTAGTGGTAAAAATGGCACCTGTTCCAGTTCCAGTTCTCCCTGTTACTCAGCTTCCAAATTGCTCTTTTCTGTATGTTCTAACCGTACTTTAAAAAAAAAGGGGGGGGGGATCCCTGGGTGGCGCAGCGGTTTGGCTCCTGCCTTTGGCCCAGGGTGCGATCCTGGAGACCCGGGATCGATCCCACGTCGGGCTCCCGGTGCATGGAGCCTGCTTCTCCCTCTGCCTATGTCTCTGCCTCTCTCTCTCTCTGTGACTATCATAAATAAATAAAAATTTAAAAAAAAGATTTTATTTTTTATTCATGAGAGACAGAGAGAGGCAGAGACCTAAGTAGAGGGAAAAGCAGGCTCCTCGCAAGGAGCCTGAGGCGGGACTCAATTCCGGGACTCCAAGATCACGCCCTGGGCTGAAGGCAGATGCTCACCCACTGAGCCACCCATACATCCCTTTTTTTCTAACGGTACTTAAAACTCTATTTTATACTTAAAAAAAAAAAAAATCTAGACACAAGAAAACACCACCAAAACCACTCTTCCTCTTGTCTGTCAGGAGTTAGTTCTTCATCTGGCTCCCCTCAGGAAGGAAATCTTCTTCCCCCTGCTGTGTCCTGTGACTGGACACCAATCCCAGGGCAGGAGCTCATCAGGTGTGTATCCTCCAGCATGGCAGTTTCAGTGGGAAGATGCTGGCTCTAGAAACATTTCCTCCTGAGAGAGGTGTCTGTCAACGGATAATGAAAACTGCCTTGTTCTTGATTTAATCACACAATAGTAGCTAAGCAGTAATTTTGGGAAATGGAAAGTGCTCTTGCATGTAGGATAAGACATAAAAGTAAAAAATAAAAAAGCAAACCTTTTCAGCATTTCTGAACTGGAATCAACCCCCAATCTCAAGCTGCTTAGGTTAATCAGTTGCTAGGATGTTTGGGGCAAACCTCCACTAGATCACCATCCTTAGGTCTCTGGGCCTGGTGCTGAGGTCCATCAGTGTCCCACTTCCATGGGGCCCAGCACAAAGAATTCTGACCCCTAGGTGATTAGAGTTAGGACCCAACTTTGCCACCAATCACTAGGAGTGTGAGACCTCATCAAGAGGAATGCCACGTGATGGCCGATCCTAACTGGGGTGCTCAGGACAAGCCATTATTAGTAGGTTCTAGTCTTTAAAAAGTCTAGCTAGTGGTGGTGGTGGGCGGGGGTCAAGGGTTGTAATGCTGAGGAGGGAGGCCTGAAGTAGGGAAAAAGGACTGTGGTCTTGGGCTCCAGCTCCAGCTGAGGAATTAGCCACATCACTTCCAATCAGGGGTGCTCCTGCTGACTCCTCCCAGCCCTGTCAGGTCTGACATGTGCTGTCTTTCAGGCTGCTCACAGAGGAGCTGTGAGCCCAGACCAGGGAAAGGCAAGTGTGGAGATGGTCCGTGTGTCTCAGGGGTTTGTAGGTGTACGCTGCAGGCATTTGACAAGGACATTTCTGTAGAGGCAAGGACTGCCTTGTGTGCTGTACAACGTGTAGCGTTCCCAGCCTCCTTCCTTCTACTAACTACTAGCAGGATCAAATTACCATGACGATCAAGAATGCCCCCGGCAGTTCCGGTGCCCCTCTGTCCCACCTGGGTTTCAGAACAACTGGAAACCAAGTGGTCTAGCTGAGTTCCTGCCAGAAAATTCCATATTCTGGTACCAATCTTTAGTTCCAACTTTATTAAGAGGCAGCAATGCCTCACAACCCAACTACTTAGTCCCTGTGAGGTCATGCCTACAGCGGGCGTGACTAGACTGAATACACTGGTTTCCCACGGAGAACACATTTTCAGGTGTGCATTTTGGTGAACCAATCTACAACTCACAATGCAGACTGTTGTTGGTCAAGGACTTTAGAGCTTTGGAACCTACTCTGGCTTCTTCCCTTGACTAACTTTAGGGAAAATCACTTTAGCTTTCCCGGTTTTGGTTAAATTCATCTTGTTCCTTATCTCCAAGGTCCTTTCCAGATCCAACATTCAATTCTATTGAGACACCATCACTGACTCATATTTGAAAGTGAAAATGGAACAGCATTTCTAACACCAAGTATTTGGAGAGGAAGTAGTTTTCACAGAGAGAAAACTTAAAATACAGAAAAAAAAAATTCTTACCACTCAAGTTTTGGAAACATTTTATAATTTATATATAAAATCTTGTAAGAAACCATGTAAAATGACAGAAATATCCACCTTACATTAAGAGTCAAAAAAAATTCACACACACTGAATGTAAATTTTAATTATAAAACAATATGAACAAAACATTTTAAAATAATCTCAATTATTTGGCAACTCATCACATCATTGCTAGAGACAAATTTGATCTTAAGAAAAATTTAATCTTATGAAAAACTTAAGTTGGACAGTTTGTTCGTATGGGAGTTAAAATATGTTTAAAAAAGAAATCCGGCAATAAAGCCAGTTTCTATCATGAAATAATTGTGTATAAAACAACATAAAATCCTGAAGCTCAGTAGACAGGAGTGACCTAATCTCAATGCATTTCTCTTCACTGAAAAGGACAACATGGAAAGAGAACGAGTGGAGGCCTCGGAACAGCACAGAGGCGTCGGATGAACACCGACAGAGGCGTTTTTGCTGCAGGTGACAGGATGTAACTTTACCTGAACCAGAACCTCTCACGCCAGTGGGGCTGGAAGTAAAGTCACAGATGTGAGCATAATCTAAAATCAAGTTACATTCTTAAAAAAGTCACAACTGTGAACAGGGAAGCAATGCAGACCCTTTCTTGAGCTAAACTACTTCACTTGGATACATGCGAGAAGATCCTGTATTTCCTGCCAGACCATAGAGAGTAACAAGGCAGGCAGCATCCTAAAACGTTTCTACTAATGACTGCATAGCATTTAAAACCCTTTTTTTATTAAAAAAAATAATAAAATAAAATAAACAGATATATAGTAAAGTTCACAGATAAGTTTTCTCTGTAAAATAAATAAAGTGTTCATTGATTAGCATCATACATAGAGTAAAATACAACCTATTTTTACATGTTTATATACTGTACACAGATTACCGGTAGGCAGCCTGGTGTCTGATAGGCTGGAAGGGTTTGCATTAGTGATGTGTCACATCGGGAAATCCCAATTTCAGATGTTAAAATATACAACTACTTTGTTTTGAGTTCAGATACAAAGTAAACTTATTTTCCTTTATCTGAAATAAATGTACATAATATCTTCTATGAACAATAGTTTATAAAGCTGTTTAAAACAGAACAAGAAAAAGCTTGCACCTAGGAACTTACAGCACATGCATGTCCTTTCCCTGGTTAAAAAAAAAAAAAAGCTTCTGGCCCCGAGGCTTACTCTCTCCTCTCGCCTGTGTCTCCAACACGCCAGGGGCATGGTGGTGGTGGTGACCAGGATTACCGCTTGGCCTTCTTCGGAGGGGCTTCTTCCACCCTCTGCTGGCCTCTAGTCCGGGCTCCGGGGGGCTGGCTTCCCTCTTGCGCTTGCTGGAAGGGGAGAGCTGGGCCTTCGATCTGCAGTAAACAAAAGTCAAGGCAGTGGTGAGAGCTGACAGGAGTGGCTTCCATAATTTGGGAGTTCTTTAAAAAAGGGAAGAATTTTGAACTTCAGAGCTGAGAGAAAACCCAGGTCATGTTTATATAGGAAGAGAAGACTCTAGAAGAGCAGTGCTAACTGGTTATGTGCAACCAGCCCCACATCCACAGGGCACAACAGGAGGAGCTTGGAGACCCGCACTCTGGTTCCGGCCCGGTCACACTCCCAGGGCCAGCCTGGCTCAAATCTGCCTTCTTCTCTGGGTCCTAGTTCTTCGAGCTAGAAAACAATTAACAGGGCAGCCCGGATGGCTCAGCGGTTTAGTGCTGCCTTCAGCTCAGGGTGTGATCGTGGAGACCAGGGATCGAGTCCCACGTTGGGCTCCCTGCATGGAGCCTGCTTCTCCCTCTGTGTCTCTGCCTCTCTCTCTCTTTGTGTGTCTCTCATGAATAATAAATCTTTAGCAAAAACAAAACAAAACAAAACAATTAACAGCCAGTCCTTCACGCATTGCCCCAAGTTGAGGCTACTGAGCAGGAGCACAGCAGAATGGGGGACTCCGTCTGGGTGGGTGCCCAATCCCATCTCATGGGCCAATACAACTGAGGAGAGGCAGCAGTGTTAAAAAGGCAGGGGAACTTCAGAGGAGCATTCTGGCCAATCACCCTGCCCCTAGCCCATCCCCGTTCTCCCATCTGCCAGCAGAATTATCTGTCAGAAATCCCAATGAATCATGTCACTGTCCTGTTTATCTGTTACACATATATTCCTCGTAACTATCTGATGCTTTCAGGATAAAGTCATCCCAAGATTTCACAAAGTCCTTTATAATTTGCCCTGACTTCTGCACCATGCTGGACTATGGTCCTGCCAATCCCGAACACATGACATTCTTTCACATTTTTATGCATTTTATGCATGGGAGTTTTTGGAGAATCACCCCACACCTCCCACCTAGCAAACGCCCTTGTCTTTAAGCTCCAGTTCAAAAGCAACTCCTCCTTATGGGAAACCTTCCTCATCATGGAGCAAGCCACTCTCTGGAAATCCCAAGGCACTTTGTGTCTCCACCACAGCACTTACCACTGTGATTTACCTGTTGATTTTTTCCAACTGTAGGCTATAGTCATTATTTTAAAACAATTCTCAAAGAGACCACAATAGGAAATACCATTGGTATAACTTCTATTAAATTTGGTTTATGAGAATTATGTTGCAGTGACAGCGGCAGCATGTGAGCACTGGTTGTACTCCAACAAGATATAGTTTTAGCCAGGTGGTGCCAAAAAAGCTTCTAAGTCATGTACACATGTCTCCCCTGCTAGAATGCTTCTCCTCTTCCTCTCCCCAGTACCTAGCACCAAGGCACACGTCGCCAAGCTGCCATGGTTCTATCTATGAAGGAAAAGACCTGGAAAATCAAAATTGCAGGAGATGGTCCAATGGGGCTGCATGGATAAGATGTTTTGCTTGTCTTGCTTATTGTTCCTTCGAGAGCACAAGTAAATAAACACAAACCAGGTCACACACTCTTGTACAGGACACAGTTCCAGCATATACGCCTGTGCTGAGAATGGCCAAAAAGCAGTGCTTGTTGATCTCCCATTTAAGGCCGAGTCAGGGAAAGCCACTGGCCACTGGGTGAGAACCTACCAACCGAGCAGTTGGCATGCTATGTGCTAGATGCCACGTAGCAGGGACAGCGGCTTTGAGTCAGAATGCTTCTTCCCGGCCGTGTGAGCCCCCTCCTGCACCCGAGGTGAGGTCTGTGACCACTGGCACCAGCATCACCTGGGAGCTATTAGATATGCAGACTCTCAGGCCCCATCCCAGACCTACAGAATCAGAATCTTCATCTCAGCAAGAGTTTCCCCAACTCGTCTGCAATTCCATTATGAGAAATAGGGACCAGAACTTTTTGAGATTCATTCCCTCACTTATAAAATGAGGACAAATATAACATTTCACATAGTGGGGACGGAATGGGAGAATCCACCTTATTGGATGCGTGGCACCTTAGCGGCTTCCCTCTCTGGGACATGGGGATAGTAACACACACATATATTATCCATACGCTGTGAAGATCGACTGTCCAAGTTTTGTGCACTGTGAAGAATCTTTTATCTGTTGATGCTCTCATGTACAGAAAGGAAGAAGCTTGTAGTTCAGAGAGGGCATACATATACCACCAGCCTCTGCACGGCAGGCTAGAGGTGCCGCACGACGGACAGAGAAGGAAGTGAAGCACTGGGGCCTCCTGAGGACGGAGGGTGAAGGATAGCAGAGCCTGCCTCGCTGGCGGCTGGTAGAAAGGGCACTCACGAACCAGCACGAGCCAAGGCCACAAAGGAGGCCTGGGCGCAGCCTGTGGGAAGCAGGAGGGTTAAGGAGGCTGTGGAGGGTGGAAGCCCCGCCAGAGGCTGAGCTGGAAGTGGCTATTTTACTGTGACCCCATCACCTCTCCCAATGCTCTGACTAAAACAAATGATTCTGGCCTGTGTGGTGCCTGACTATGCTGGGCTGGTTTAGCCAAGTACTCAGACCTGTGACCCCTTGGGAAGAAACACCCCTCGCCTTTGGTCCTGGTGGATGGAGTCAGCATGTAACGCTCACAAAGGTCAAGGGCAAGTGTGTGTGGGGAGGGGGCGTGAAGCGAGGTCTGACATGCCTTATGCAGCCCCTCCAATTCCTTTTGGAGTAGGTTTCCATTCGGGAAACCAATGATCCCAGAAGACAGTTATCTGACAAGACAAAGATCCTAAAGGAACTTGGGAAGAAAACATTACTGTACCAAAAACAGTCATAGGGGATTAAAAATGACTTGAAGTGTAAGCAGGGACTTACCTTCCTAATGGGGGAGATTTACTAACTTTTTCGCTGGTAGAGAACTTCTCTTTTGCTAATTTTTGGCGATTTCTAGCGGAAATTGTTTCTGGGTTGCCAAGGGTGGATGTTGCACATGCTGGTGGCTTGCTATGATGCTTTCTGAAACAGATTACAGAAACACCGGGCAGTGGTACACTGAACAGACCAGTCCCGGCGCCTCTTCAGAAAGGATGAGGCTCCTCGTAGGTGAGTCAGAGTCAGAGAATGGGGGTGAAAAGCAGAAAATGGTTGGTTTTCTGGACTGCTGGTAAAAAGAAGATCTGATGTCATCTACGACTGTCTGTGTGACTGTGTCTTTGCTTTTACTGTGTAAAGTATTTTATCATGATTTAGACAAAGAGGACTCTGTGATAAAAAATACACTGGCTGACAAGATGACAATTCCCAAAGTGCTCACTGCAGCAGAGAAGGGGCCAAGGCAGTACAATTCACAAGGCCAGCTGGTCAGGTCCAAGTGGTCGACTACTCGAGGACCAGGGGATGGAAGAGCAGGCCTGCCAGTGCAATGGCCAAGAGAAAAGACTTGCTGAGCTGGCGTGCGGGTCCAGCTGAGACCCTGCAGGATAGGGTGGGGCAATCCTCTTCTGAGTTCATTAGCCCACATGCTTTGTGCAGACCATGTGCTGCCTTAGAAAGGGGAGCACATAAATTCAGGAGAATAAACAGGGATGATGATGGGGATTAAAATAAGAGAGGACTTGGAAGCTGCCCTTAAATATTTAGGGAAATGCTGTAGGGAAGCCCCAAGAGCAGAAGTGGTAGAGCAGACTCCTCAGGGAGGCCAGCCTCCACTGGACACAAGGAAGAGAAGAGTGAGGGGACTTCCCTGCTACTGAGGAGCCTGCACGTAGAAAGATACTTTCTGAGGAGCTGCTGCTGCAGACGTGAGCAGACAGCGAGGCACTGATGGGCCAGCAGCACTAGCCCGTGAAGACCCCAACCACCCTCAAGAATCGAACTAGGATGATGGAAGAGCCCTAGAGTCAACTAACTGATGCCAAGGAATCTACAATAAGAGAAGAATCCAGTTGTAAATTAAAAGTTCTCAAGGTATGTTAAGGAAGGGCACTGACAGTCTAGGTGATGAAAGAATCGTATAAGTCAAGTAAGATTTGTTTGCAAAGAACAAATTTTAAAAGGCAAACCTGACCACTACTTTTAGACACTCAAAGACAGCAAGAAGGCCTACAGAACTTTGTATGAGGTGGTCCCTACTCTCCTGGGTGATCTTTCTGCAATGTTTAAGGGGGAGGCAGTGGTGCTGGGGTGGATCTGTACCGAATGCAGGGGTGCTGTGCTGCAGCGCCCCCACCTTCTCCCATCAGCAGGAAATTTGATTCTTTCTCTTCTATTTATCTGAGGTGCTCCACCTAAAAAAAACAAGTATAAGACTACTATCTTACCTTCAGCTTGTGTGAGCTCCTAAAGTCCTGTGGCCCTAAAACCTGACTCTCAGAAATCAAACCGTGGTATGAATGACTAATAAAATGCAATGTGGAATAAGCAGAAATAGATTGATTTTAAGTCTTTATATAAACACAAGACACTATTACTGTTACAATGTGGTGACAGGTCGATGTCCTTAGATAGATGAATGAATAAGCAGCTGTGGTCTATGTATACAATGGAATATTACTCAGCCATTAGAAAGGATGTATACCCACCATTTGCTTTGACATGGATGGAACTGGAGGGTATTATGCTGAGTGAAGTAAGCCAATTAGAGGACAATCATCATATGGTTTCCTTTTCTTTTTTTTTTTTTTTTTAAGATTTATTCATGAGAGACAGAGAGAGAGAGAGAGAGAGAGAGAGAGAGAGGGAGGCAGAGACACAGGCAGTGAGAGAAACAGGTTCCATGCAGGGAACCTGACATGGGATTCGATCCCTGGTCTCCAGGATCACACCCTGGGCCAAAGGCAGGCGCTAAACCGCTGAACCACCCAGGGATTCCCCATATGATTTCACTCATATGGGGAATATAAGAAATAGTGAAAGGAATTGTAGGGGAAAGGAGGGAAAATGAGTGGGAAAAATTAGAGGGTGAAAAAACATGAGAGACTTCTAACTCTGGGAAATGAACAAAGGGTAGTGGAAGGGGAGGTGGGTGGGGGGACGGGGTAACTGGGTGATGGGTACTGAGGGGGGCACTTGACGGGATGAACACTGGGTGTTATACTATATACTGGCAAATCAAACTTCAATAAAAAATATTAAAAAACGGGGAAAAAACCCCAATGTGGTGACAGGTGTAATAAGTGATATTCTTGAAATGAACGTCGGTGAAATTTTGATTAATCTTGGGTAATGAAATGACAGAAGATGATACCAAGATTAACAGCTTGTGAATCACTTTGAAAATGGAAAATATTCTTGCTTGAGTAAGTTAATAGACTAAAAGATGCAACATGTCTCAAAATGTGCTGTGGGGAAAATACTGGTTGATATTAATGGGAGTGGGTGGGGGTATAATTGGCAAATGTTTGTTCAGACAAAGTTAAACAGGTTTGTTTCCTTTAGGACTATACTGAGCCCTTAATATTTTAACATGCACTGTGATTTACGAAGTTCAGGAGAAGGAATTCACTGGCATTCCTAAAACTCATCTGACCATGACACTTTTTTCCAGGGACTTCTGGCTATACTAAGATTTGGGAGAATAAATTTTGGGAAACATGAGATTAAGTTCTGTTAGTAAAAAATGGTCACATATGGGCAATTTCACATGGTCACCCTATACCACAGCACTGATTACATGCATAGGTACACCTGCCTTGTCCCTCACACTGGAACTGAGCATGCTGCATGTAGGAACTATATTGTACACAGGGTCTGCTTTCACCCATGGGCCCAGCATAGTATCTGAGACTCCTACTGAGGCTCAATAAATATCTGTACAGGAACTAAATGAGTTCTACCAAACAGGTATTTAGAACCTGGCAGACTCTGATATGATCCTCAACAATTGTTTAAGATGGAAGGTGGGTTTCTCCATGAAGAACTAGTCCAAGGGCTAAGAACATGTGCTCTCTGCTGAAGATAAAAACAGAAGGAAATGGCTTACACTGTGGCATGTGTGAGTCAACGAAAAGAGAATACCATGAAATCCAAAGCTGCCTTCTGATGGAGAAGTCGGTGAAGGCCTTTAGAATCTCTCCGTTGCCCCCATTACCTCTGAGCCTCTGATCTGGTGGTGGATCTTGTGGTGGCTCCTGAGGGCTCATCCTCTTCCTCCTCTTCCTCTTCTTCCTCAGACTCCTGGTCTTTCTTGTCCTCAGTGGCTTCAGAAACTGATTTCTGGCGTTTTCTTTCTGGTTCTGAAGATTCTGTTCAAATAGAAGGGTAACACCTGGACTGTACAATTCCCCAAGACACTTCCAAAGGAGAGTCATGGAGTGTAGGATGTAGGATATTAGGGACTTGGAGGCAGAAGAAGTGCTTTTCCATTTCCTTTTGTTTCAGCACTTGCAATTCACAACTGTTTAACTTAATCTCAAACACATTTGGGATAGTTTACTTAGGCAGTTCACAGCCAGCATTCATGAAAAATTCACATGTACTCAAAAAAGCATCTGGGATGTACCATTTCTGACATGGGATTAGAGCCATTTCACACATATTTATGTAATATTAATACTAGCTGTGCCCCACTGGATTTTTCTTCGTGTAGAGAAAAACTCTTAAAAAGGTGATTTTGAAATGATAAGACTCCACAATTAAGAATGTGTCAGAAACATACCAGCATCATCTGACAGAGTGAGCGAACGCTTGGGCTTTCTTCCTCTCCGACGCACATTTGCTACTGTTTTTTCTTCGCCATCATCCTAGAAGCAGTAAAATTAAAACCGAAAGGATGGTTAAGTGAACATTTACTAAGTTTATTCCTAAAAGACATACTTTGATAAGAAAATTGACACTTACGTTGCTCATACTTCTTTCTTGTGGGGTAGTGGTTTCTTTATTGGACTCATCTTTAAGAAAACGAAAATGTCTGCATTAATACTCTCTTAGTGTAAAATTAACTTTCAACAGCCTGGCTTGTTGTCTCTGAATGTACCAGTGCTGATTAAAGCATTGTTCAACAATATAGCATTATTTTGTATCAGATAAGAATAATACCTAGCAGAAAGTACACTCAATTACAAGTCAGAACCTCCAAATGCGCACATTTCAGACTTGTCATAAATAACCTATGCAATCTGGGAAAATTACTTAAATTCCTCAAACCTCAGGTTTTCATCCATAAGATAAAAACATGGGTTACCTGTATGGTCCCTTTCAGATCAAGGAGGGGCAACTAGGGAGCCCTCAAATCTTACCAGGACTTGCAGGTCAGGATTACAAACCATAATGATATCTCAATGTAGCTCTCTTTCTATTACAACCCCTGTTTTATAATTAGGAAAAAAAAGGTTCAAGTAATTTGATTTAAATAATTTCTTCAGGGCAGCCTGGGTGGCTCAGGGGTTCAGCGCCACCTTTAGCCCCGGGCGTGATCCTGAAGACCCCAGGTCGAGTCTCACGTCAGGCTCCTTGCATGGAGCCTGCTTCTCACTCTGCCTGTGTCTCTGCCTCTCCCTCTCTCTCTCTGGGTCTCTCATGAATAAATAAAATCTTTAAAAATAATAATAATAATAATAATAATAATAATAATTTCTTCAGTCACATAACTAATAAGTAGTGCGGTAGCTGGAATTCTTTTGACTATAAGTTACATCAGAGCTATTAGAAAAGTATATATTATAAGCCTATTGTAGGTTGTGTATGCCTATGCTTTATATATTTGCTTTCTGTGGATGTTACAGTTTTCTGACAATGTATCAGAAAAGAATATTTAGTTTAATGCACTGTTTGAAGTTAAAGTTATGGGGATGCTCACTGGACACCTGACAGATAACCCAAAGGTACTTCTCGTTGGTGGTGAGGTCCACATTCATCCTTTTTGCAAGTTCAGTACACTGATGCGGATGGAAACATTATACCAAGAAGGCTGACAGTGAAGGAGCCTGTCATAACTGGTCATCATTACCCAGACTCAGAAAATCACTGCTAAACACCACCAAAACATAACTACACAGCTCAAATTAGAGTCTTTAAAGGACATTCAAATTATAAAGGTTTCTTGTTGTATGGATTCAAAATATTATAACATTAGGAATAAAAACTGTTAAAAACCAAACATAAGCAAACTCTCCCCTTGTAGAAAAAATAATAAATCAGCCTTAATTCTCCAAGAGACAAGAAAAACTGAAATACAATCACAAGATCACACATAGTTCAATGTGGAGGTTTCTAAATTACATATTTGCTTTACCTTGATTATGTACTTTTTTTTTGTACTTTTCTGATCTAATCAGCTATTTGTTTTACCCAACAGAGTTGTCACATTCATGTTTTTTGCCTATGTCAACCCTTTAAAACCCACCAAAAGGTCTTATTACTTTTTTTTTTTAAAGGTTCTATTTGAGAGAGAGAAAGCACATTCATGAGAGCACATGGGTGTGGAAAGGTGGGAAAGGGGGAGAGAAAGAATCTCAAGCAGATTCCCTGCTGAGCCCTGGAGCCTGACTTGGGACTCCATCTCACAACCCTGAGATCAGGATCTGAACCAAAATCAAGAGTCGGATGCGTAATTGATGAGCCACCCAGGCACCCCAATCTTGTTGTTTTTACATAAAAAAATTTTAACAATGAAATTAATAAACACACACTGTAAAAATTCTGGAGAATTCAAGCAATAGTAACAACACAGAATGTTCCCATTATCCCACTACCCACAGCCAATCAGTATCAACATTTTGGGACTATTTTTCTCCTTGGAATGAGGACAAAAATAATTCAAACAGTTTTATCTCTTGCATTCTGGCTCTAGAAGCTACACAGGCTGCTTTCAAAATTCTTCTGAGAACAATAGGCTCTTGAGTAAATTCCTGTCTTCCCAGTAAGATGGTCTGGTCTCTAGGCTGATCTATTTCTCCTTTAAACATATCCAGTAAATTAGGGTTTGGACACCCCAGTGCAGTCCCTACTGTACTTTCTGTTGCCTTCCCCCTCCTCTTTGGAGGCTTCCTGGAGACTTCTAAAACCAAGAAGGGTTCAGATCACAAGAAAAGGCAATGGCTATAGTCTTGTATGTCTACAAGAACAACCGTTTTAACCTACTTCATTGAGAATGAAACTCTAAAACCTTCCCCAACTGTCAGCCGCCCTTGCCCCTTCCTTAGATCACATGCAGAGCAATGCTCTAGGTACACACCTGTCTGTGTTAATTTTGGTTTGCTGCCAGGTGAAGACTGTTCTACCTAAATTTAAACAAACAAAAAACTGAAGTCAGTAGTTAGTCATCATCACAAAGAAGTCATTAATTATGTAAGGGAGGATCATCATTATGCAGGCAGAGTATTCGGAACCTATCTTTTGCCGTAAAAAACACCAAGCAAAAATGGATGCCCTGCTTCTGAACACATGGTCTTTCCAAAGGAGAATTGGGCTGCCACAAGCCTCTTCTCCAGCCACTCTCCTGTGACACTGGGAGATGAGCATGGGAGGTGACATGGCATGACCATCATTAGTATTCCCCAAATCTGGCAAACTGTCTTACATGCTGGTAAATGCATTGACCTATGGCACTTTGGTTTTGCTGTTCTGTAATAATTCTATGGAGGTAAGTACTGTAGTACTTACAGATATCATTACACTACTTTATATTCAAGGAAATAGGGGTTTCAAGGGGGTCACAAGATTAGCCCAGTGTCACAGTTCTGGGAGTAAGTGGCAGAGCTGAGGCTTGGACCTCATTAGCTGTTGGTAGAACACTGCCATATGTTTGACCTTCTAACAGTGCTGTCATTGAAACTCATGTAATGAAGTCTTGATAGAATGATTTTGTAGACTATATGCTTTAGGGTCAAAAACGAAGAATGTTTAAAAAGATGAAGTGTCATGGAGGATTTTCCTGAATCAAAATCAAGTGTATATTTTATTATGAAAGAAACTCCAGAGAGAGTAGTAACAGGTAAGACACACTTCAGGTTTCCATAAAGAAAGCCATTACCTAAAAATCACATAACACAACTATTTTCATGTATTAATCAAGATTGACCACAAGAAGGGAAGTCCCTAGATAATTTTTATATAAGCAAACTCACATATGAGGATGGGATCAGATTAAAGAACAGTATATTTATGTAAAAATATTAGTACTTGAAATATTATTTAAATGGTTATTCAGTGTTTTATTTAAGGTATTCTTTTAATGTTTTTCAAATATTTAAAAAACGAAAGGAATACAAAATAGAAATCCTGCCGTATACACTATCCAGGTCAAGGGCAAACACTTCCAGAGTTCCTATCTGTTGCAATTACTCACATTGACGGTGCCAGTATCTGTTTTGCAGTCCTCTTCTAAAAAGTAAAAAATAAAAATCTCACTTAGAAAACCAGTTTGGAAATGTCTTTTTAAATTTTTTTTAAAAGTAGGCTCCACATTAACGTGGTGCTGAACTCATGACTCTCCGATCAAGAGGTGCACGCTCTACCCACCAAGCCAGCTATTCGCCCCTGAAAATGTCTTGCATGTGAACTGAAACATAACAAACACCTACTTGTTTTTAACATGGTTTCTACGGGGTGTTTACGAGGTCTTCCTCTTTTCCTTTTAATAATTACTGGCTGATCTTCCTAAGGGGTAAAGGAAAAAAAACAAAAGAGCAATAAAAGATTTCAAAATGAGATTTAGTGTTTCCTCCTACGAGGGCTCAGATCCTAGCTCTGTCACTTAAACAATACATGACTTCACGCTTCATTTCTCAGTGTATTCCGTCAGCTGATAAACACTGAGAACCATATCCACGCAGTAGTGAGGAATGAGATGAAGTAGAAGTGAGTGCTCCATATCAGCTTTGACTTCTGCAATCGGTATGCATGTACATTTAAATGCGGATTTAGTCTTAGTCACTGGTGACCAAATGTTATCCCTTATGAAAAATAAAAGAGGCCACTGAACTTCTCATACAGAAGTGTGAGAAAACAAAAAAGAACTATTAAAAAAAAGTATATTAAGTGGAATTTAAGAAACAAAACTAATAAACATAGGGAAAGGGAAGGAAAAATGAAGTAAGTACGATAAAAACAGAGAGGGAGGCAAACCAGAATAGACTCTTAACTCTAGGAAACAAACTGAGGGTTGCTGGAGGGGAGGTGGGTAGGGGGATGGGGTTCCTGGGGATGGGCACTGAGGAGGGCATGGGACATGATGAGTGCTGGGTGTTATATGTAACTGATGAATCACTAAATTCTACCTCTGAAACTAATAATGTGGTATATGTTAACCTGAATTTAAACAGAATCTGAAAAAAAAAAAAAAAAGACGATTGTGTCAGACAGGCAAACTTTGGTAATGGTTATCTAGATGTGGTTGGGGTACAGGTTGTTTCCCTCAATTTCTGGGCTTGTTTCAGGCCAGTGGATTCCATCCCTCACTGGGCCTGTCTGCACATCCCCTAAGGCAGGGGTGGGGCAGGGCCAGAGACTGGCCTGCTTTTGCAGCCACCCAGGAATCCCCCACTTGGCACTGGGCACCTGCTGCGGACCTTCTGCACACTCTGTTGTGCTGCTTCCGTTTAGTCCTGTCCAGACTCTAGGGCTCAGCAGCTCTGTTCTCTGACCTAAACATGTGCCTGGCTTGGCCATGCCCTGCTGCCAGGACAGGAACGGGACTTCAACACTGAGGTACAGCTCTGGGCTGATCCTATGTGGTCTTTTTTTTTTTTTTTTTAAGATTTTATTTATTCATTCATGAGAGAGAGAGAGAGAGAGAGAGGCAGAGACATAGGCAGAGGGAGAAGCAGGCTCCCTGTAGGGAGCCCAATGTGGCACTCAATCCTGGAACCCTGGATCATGCCCTGAGCCAAAGACAGACGCTCAACTGCTTAGCCACCCAGGTGTCCCTGGTCCTATGTGGTCTTGACAGAAATAGGTCTAATATAAATGTTGGGATGAAATAAAAATGAATAGAACAAAATTAATCAAACTGACACTGATAAAATGCACAGTATGAAATGGCTATCCCACTGCACTAAAAAAAATGAACTACTTCAAAAGCATTTGACAAAGACTTTGGGTAATAGCATTTAATGCATTTTATTTGTCATTAGTATTCAACTACCTGAACAGGAAGAACGCAAGACATCCCTTACCTCCTGAGACTTCATGTTGTCATCGTCATTCTGCTCCATCTTTTCACTAGCAGCTTCGCCGCTGCTGTATTCATCTGCAGAGACAGCAGAGCTCAGCTCAGGGCTGGGGACCACAGTCAGCCGCATTGGCATACCTGCCCAGGTGGCCTGAGCGGTCCCAGTCACACAGGCAGGAGCACACACACACCATCTGCAGGGCCTACACCACGCAAGTTAATAAGCAGAAGTCTGGCTAACTGATAAGCACACTTTGGGTCGACTTAAGATCCCAATTCCAAATGATCTCCAAGCCCTGTGGGTATGAAGTATATTCTCCAGGGATGGCAAATTAGTCAGCTGTGCTTTAGGCTGCAAAGCCTGATGAAAGGTTAGTCTTGTCTTAACAATTTATCTAAGTCCGTATATTACTCACCTTTTTCATCCATGGCCCTTGAAGCAGTGCTGTTTGTCTTAGAACTTGTTTTAGAGAATTCTTCCAAATCTCCAGCGTTCTCCTCCTGTGGAGAAGTTGAATAAGACTTCTTAAGTTGAACAAGCTTAGCCCTGTCTCCACTTGTCCTCCCCAAAGTTTTGCTTTCTATTTCAAAAACAATTTTCTAGTGTTTTTTTTTTTTTAACAAGTTTGTTGCAGAATTTTTAAAAAGCAACTATTCCGTGGCTAGTGAGGCATACAAAGAGATACAAATTCTGAAGGTAGGACAGCATGAGATAAAGCTTAACTATAAAGCAACAAAGGCATTATTTTTTTCCCTGCAACATAGAAATCACTCTTTTCCTCCCTCAACCTAAATTTTGTCTTTGAGAGAAACTCCAGAGAAGGAACTGATAGGAGTTTGCAACAGATTTCTTTTCTTTGTTGGGTGGTGAAGGAGGGGATTGGGGGAAGGGATAAGGAAGAAAGTGACTAAAGGAATTTCGGGGGTATACAGCTGGGCTGATTTAGAGTAATAATCTTTCACCAGTTAAATCATTCACCCTTAGGTGAAAAAATTTTCGGCATGAAATACCAAAGTGTACTGTAAAAGTAATATAGTATATTGAACACACACACACACACACACACACACACACACAAATATAAAATTGGAATTCTATCTTAACACTGAAAACATTATCTATCTAGAGGTGATTTTTTTAGTGAAAATTGCTGGTATATTTTACTTAAATTTAGCATTAAATAACTTACATGAAATTGAAGGGGAAATAAAAAGAGACCCCCTTCAATCTGCCTCTCTCCAAATTTAGGAGTATTGTCTCAGGATTCTTGTTCTAGATAAGGCAGGGGGAAGGATGGGGTTAAAATCTGGTTTCTTTCCTTCACCACAACCAATTGAAATTCATGATGATACATGACTCCCTCCTTGGTTGTTAAAATTCTTCTACTACTTTTTATTTAGTTCATCAGTCACTGGCAGAAAACAGAGATTTTGAACTGGTTTTACTAAGCTAGAATTCAACTGTATATATTTTTATAAGCTGACTTAATTAAACACTTTGGAAACATGGTGGAAAAAAATAAATTAGGGAAAGAGTGAAGAAGGAGATAGAGCTAGTTTGGAATACACAATGAGCAGCACCAAGTCTCAAAAATGGAAGCATGCCCAAGAGGTATCTACCAGGAAATGCAAAAATCTGGGACTATAGAGTAGGGGCAGAAATAAAAGTTTGTGAGCCACCTTCCTGAGTCATTAGATGAAAATAAGATCATATGAAAAAAAGGCAAAGAGGGAGGCCAATCTTTGGACTACTTATATTTTAGGCACAGAAAGTAGAGAGAAGGCAGGGTATTAAAATTTTAAAATAATATATATCACCGTATTTTGATGTTTTGGTGCAAACACATCTGTGGTAAAGCATACAACACTTGGGAAGGAAACATCTAGAAGCCTTAAATCAATGACATCACTGAACAGAAACCTGAGCAAGTTTCTGTATAAACTATGATATTAACACTACTCTTATGGTTTAAAATTATAAAGTAAAATATTTGTTTCTTTTGCAGGATGCTAAAAAATATACCTTTTATAATAGAGAAATATAGAGTAAAAAGGATACTAGAATGAAAAAGAATAATAAGTGTTCAGTGATGCAATTAGGTTACCCCCAAAACTTAAATTAATATGTGGAAAAAAAATACCTTTGTATCTTGTGGTTCAGTTTCAGAACATTGCCTCTGTGCTGTTTCTATTTTGGAATCTAGGACATCTGGATTATCATCTGTAAATCAGTTTGGACAGAATCACAAAGGAATAAAAGCTAAATGAAAAATGAAATGCACAGTTCTATTTTAAGACAGTTTAAGACTTCTTTTTTAGTCTTGTGATACAGTGAAGCCAAAAGTTATTCTAAATGTATTTAGTGTCATGTGATTTGAGCACTGAACACTTGACTGTGGCCTTGGCAAAACCAAAAAAGTAAAAAATAAAATATAAAAAAATAAAATAAAAAGCCACAAATGCTCAGCTGACACCAATTAAACAGCAGATTCTATGGAAAGGGCTTAGGGCCTATAAGAGATCCCAGAGATACTTTTAACTTCCTGCATGAGTTATCACCTAGGAGGTATGGCTTAGTGACTGAGACCAAGGGGTTATGAATCAGATTTACTTGGTGGGAATAAAGTCACAACCTCGCCAAATCTTAATTTCTTTACTTTTAAAATGGTGATGATGCCTAACTCACAGTCATTATGAATGTGGATAAAATAACATGGATAGTAACTAAAATATGAACTCAAGAATTAAGTAATAATTACATGCTTCTAAGCAAAAAAGGAAAGCATTTTTTCCATTCTTTCTCACATATCAATAACTTTTTATTGCAATTGTACTTTGTGTCAGGTATCAAAATATAAGTCTGTACCATCCAATATGGTAGCCATTAGCTACATGTGGCTGTTGAAATTTAAATTAAAATTGAATGCAACTGGGCAGCTTGGTGACTCAGCTGTTTAGTGAGGCCTTCAGCCCAGGGCCTAATCCTGGAGACCCAGGATCGAGTCCGGCGTTGGGCTCCCTGCATGGAGCCTGCTCCTCCCTCTGCCTGTGTCTCTGCCTCTCTCTCTCTCTCTCTCTCTCTCTCTCGGTGTCTCTCATGAATAAATAAATAAAATCTTAAAAAAAAAATTGAATGCAATTATAAATCCAGTCTTTCATTCACATTGACATTTAACTGCTCAAGAGTCACATGTGGCTATTGGCTACTGTACTAGACAAAACAAATATAGAACATTTTCATCATTGTGGCAAGTTATATTGGATGGCACTGTTATCGACCATAGGAAAACCAACAGTACGAAGCACAGAATGGCTACTACATGAACCTTTACGATGTGCTTCACTAGCTCTGTGGGGCATGGGATGATATAAAATGAAGAACTTGGTGGATCTGTCTGGGTCCCAGGCACGGTGTCAGAGGGAGCCTAGGTTTGTGTGAATTCCAGGGGTTGAATCTTCTGTAATAACAATGTAGTTTCTAAATCAAGTTCAGAAAAGACCCTGGAGGTGGCAAGCCAGTTTGGATACAAACTGGACTCAAGAGTTATAAAAGTGAGCAATTAATACTCTCAAAAATTTTCTGTGATATTGGCACAGTATCTTGGATGTAAAAATAATACAATCTTCAAAGATGTCTGAAAAAGGAACATATATATTCTAAATACCCAGTTCATCTTCTGAGGAGGGATAATGCTTCTTTCTTTTTCTTTTAGGCATCTGCCTTTCTTCCTCTTCAACCTGGAATAAAGAATGAGTATATATATTACAGTCAATAGAATTTGGAACAAAAATCGACTGAAATGACAACACATTAGCTTCCAGTTTTTGAAATAAATTTTTAAAAAATCTAGACTAACACTTTAGGCATCCATTTGGATGAGACTTATTTGTAAGCTTTGAGTCTTTATTTTAAATCCACACAAAACATGCAAATCTGTTTCTGGTTAGACATTGTATTCCAACAATTCTACAATGTTTTAAAAAAAATATTTCTCCTTTTACCATCTCTGAAGTCAAGCTATGTCTTAGAATCAATGACATGTCCTAAATTAATTGATTTAGTGTTCTTCTCTTTCAGTGGCCCAGCAAAGAGCCAAGGGAAGGCAGTTTAAGAAGTATCATTTACCCTTCCTGACTCTGACTGTACAACATGGACACATCCCAATAATTACCCACACAAGAGTATAAACAGATAAAAGTGATCTGGAGATCCATTTAATTTTTAATACATACAAAGATGTAAACCTTTTCTTTGTGTATCACTCAAAGCACGATGAACAAAACATGAAATATTTGTGTTTCTTAAGAAAACCCACCTCTTTAGGATTTGCTTCAACACTGTAATCTCTTAAGGCTTCTGTGTTGTCTTTTCTGCTGTTGGATATCTCTAATAAATACAAAAGAGAAAAAAAAAGTATTTATTTATTTCAATACTTATTTGAAGGGTCTGCATGGCAGCAGGAAGGACACTTTATAAATCACAGACAGTGTCCTCACACCAACTATATCAGTTAAACTCCATGATTTCCATTTGCAGAATGTAAGTAAATGGGTCGTGGAAGGATGAGGGCTGCTGGACTCTACGCATTGACTTCAGAGCCAGTTTTCCTCCAGCTCATGGGGCAACACAGTGGGAAGATGTGTCCAAGGAAAACAAGTAGGTATTATTTCATACCCATCAGATTAGCAAGCATATACCAGTCTGGTAATATCAAACACAGGAGAAGGCATGGAGTTACAATTGGTACACCACATGGGGACAGTTTGGCACATTCGGTAAAGCTGAGGAGGTGCCAGCCAACCCAGCAATTCCATACCTAAGTTTCAGGTATATCACGATGCACTGGGAGACAGGTACAAGATCATGCACCACAGAACTCTTTGGGAAAAGTTGCAAAAAAACCAAATGTCCACCAACAAAAGCCAAAAAGAATCATGGTGGTATATTCACACAATTCACACAATACTAAACAGTAACTGAAATAAAGTAACTAGGAACTCTGGGAAACTAAAAGGGTAGCGGAAGGGGAGGCGGGCAGGGGGATGGGAGTAACTGGGTGACGGGCACTGAGGAGAGCACTTGATGGGAGGAGCACTGGGAGTTATATGTTGGAACTTCAATAAACTTCAATAAAAAAAAAAGGAAAGAAAAGAAAGTAACTATGGTTATACACATCAATATGACAAAATTTCAGAGCATAACTCTGAATGAAAAAATAAGGTAGAGATACTTTTGCTAATGTGATACCCTTTCCTTAAACATGCAACATCAGGCTACATATTTTTATAGAAATATATATAGCAATTGCAGAATAGTGGCTCCCTTTGGAGTAGAAGAGAGATTAAGACTGGGGAGGCATATGCGATTTCAACTCTATCTGTAACATTTTTCTTAAAAAGCAAATCTACTAAATTTTTAAAAATATGACAAAAACTAGGTGATGAATACATGTTTATAATTACTACTACTTTACTTTGAAATATGGGATAATATATTATTATAAAAAAAGACCTCTTTCCCCACTCTTGGCATAAGGTAACAATGTAGGAATCAACAACATTCTATGTTATGTTTGAGAGAATTATCCCTCTGGAGATGGTGGCCTCCACAGGTTTCAGGGAATGAAGCCTGACCCCCAGGAGAAGAGCCACACAAACGTGACACCCCTTCATCTACCGAACTAAGACTGCCTGTCAGAAGTAAACACAAGTATTTAGTGAAGAACTTCTAAAGCACAAATCTCAGGCAACTATACATTTTGTATTCAATTGGATTAAGTCCACTGTGAGGTTACTGGCAAAGTTCTAGTAGCTATTTTATGACAAAGCCCCACTTATAAGCTACAGGGCCTGGAACAAGGCACTGGACCTCTCTCCAAGCCTTGGTTTCCCCAGCTAGAGAAGTAATGCTGTTAATACCCACCAAATGATATGAATTAGTAAGAGAAAATTTGTGAAGTAATTAGCACAGGATCTGGCATATAGAAGGCACTCAACAAATGGGAGATAATTAATTAATATCAACATTAATACTATGAAATTCATTAACTTACCTTCTTTGTTGGAAGATTTGCTATGAATTTCTTCATTTGCTCTTGAGCCTGAATTTTTTACCTAAATATACCAGAGAAAAGGTTATTTATGGATATTCTCACCAAAGACCTAAAGGCAGAAAAAACAAATAAGGAGGAGAACTGATATAACCTGTTTGTTGGAATGTAGAAATGGACTGGAATACATGCTTTTTAAAATTTCACCCAAAGCTCAAGAGCACAGAACATCTTCCTTTTGAAGAAGTTTTGGTTTAGCGAATTATCATCCTGTGTTTTATTCTTCTCGTATTTAAAAGGGTTATGGCAAAAGTATAAGAAGTAAAAAAAAATTTTTTTTTTCTGAATTCTATGGATTCTCTTCCCACCCAATGATCCCTCATGATTTTTTTTTCTTTACTTAAAAATGCTAAAGGATCCTCTGTCATCATCATCTGTCTTCGGCAAATCTTGTCAATTGTACTTTTATTTTTTTAACTGAGGGAAGCACCTCAGAATACCCTACAACATTCTAAATCCTAGCTACAGAATTTCATGCATATTTGGGAAGGCTAGTGATACTCTCAGAATGGGGAAAGTTAGATGCTGGGGGCCCTCTGGGAAATAAAGTACGGTGGAACACTGGCTCTACGTTTGGAATCCTTTTAGAGGGTAAATCTGAATGAAACCAAGTGTGCTTTGCTCTTTCTTCTTACTCAGCTGACTGCGTAGGAGTTTCTAGCTATAAAACAGGATGTTTCAAAGAGGTGAGGATAGCCCTCTGATGTCTGGCAGTGCATAGAACACCCAGGAGTTCTCTCAGGGCACTGGAAATAATGTCTCTTTGCAGATTACAAGCATTTTACAAAATGTTCTCTCCTGGTAAGATATCAGGTTCTCTGTGCATTAAGAAAGACATAAAATTTCTTTCAAGCACAAGAGATTAGGATAGCCACAGCTGGGAAAGAATATGTATCCCTGGCAATTACAGTTTAGTATCTTCAGAAAAACTTTCCAGAGACACAAAATGAACTTTAGTTTTCAAAATAAAATGTTTTGTTTATAGTACCAGGATTATTTCAGGAGTTGCAAAACAACCATAAAATTCATTACAATAATGAAAATTAGGGATCCCTGGGTGGCGCAGCGGTTTAGCGCCTGCCTTTGGCCCAGGGCGCGATCCTGGAGACCCAGGATCGAATCCCACGTCGGGCTCCCGGTGCATGGAGCCTGCTTCTCTCTCTGCCTGTGTCTCTGCCTCTCTCTCTCTCTGTGTGACTATCATAAATAAATAAAAATTAAAAAAAAATAATGAAAATTAGAAAGTTCACAATTCATTGAAGGATTTCATTAGTAAATCCCAGGTGAGTTTCCTAGTCTGAGTTATGTGGGCCTTCTGTTTCTTTCAATGTTTTAAGACATTGGCCTAAGGAGCCAGTAGAATGCAGTGCTGTTGAATTCAGAGTGACTCTTTTTCTCTGGAGGAAGACAACTAAATTCTATGACATCAGTGGATATAGTGGAAGGTTGGCCTGAACATCTCAGTTGTTATGTTGCACTCCAGGGGAGAGCACACCACAAATAGCCTCCTATCTCCTAAAGGATGCACAGACAACCCCTCTGCTAGATGCCCACTTTCCATTCACTCTCAAAATACCAAGGCCCACAATAAACCCCAAAGCATTACAGTGACTTACATTAAGTGATTCATTCGCCAAGAAAGGCTCCCTCTGTTGCTCAGCTGTTCAAAAATAAAAATGAGAAATTAAGGAAACTGAATAGTTTCTGAACCATAGAGAAACAAATTTAGAATTTTTTATGGTAAACCAGGACTATGTCGCTAACTGGTCCACCTGCCTTGTGAACTATAAAATTCTGACCTATTATTTTCTATAATCTGTGCCTGCCATTATGCCAGAATAACAACAGAAATGAATGTTGCCTGCATTTTTATAATGATGGCAGTGGTCCATTAAATCCCTGCACCTATGTTGGTAATGTGAAGCTCAGAAGAAAGGTAGACCTTTGCTGTAACTGTTCAGCTACAAAGTGACACTAGTTAATCTAAAAATAATGCCATCAAGTGAAAAGTTAGATTCTATCCCTTCAAACAGCAATGGTCTATTTATATTCTCTGGAAACTTGAAGTACAAGGTCTACTGTTTCTACTCAACAGTGACAGAACGCACATTTTTCTTTTAAACAACTTCCTTTTACGTAAGTAGATCTCTTATTGAATCGTACCTAAACACAGTGAAGTCATCTGGAATATACTGCGGGAACAAAGGGCTTCAGAATCCAGAAATGTTATCTTCTTGACAATTAACAAAGGGGATGTTAATTATTTGTACTTTTTTTCTTTGTAGAGATTTTATTTATTTGAGAAAGAGAAAGCATGAGCTGGGGGAGGGGTAGAAGGAGAAGCAGACTCTCCACTGAACGGCAAGCTTGACTTGGGACTCCTGGGATCACGACCTGAGCTGAAGGCAGACACTTAACTGACTGGGCCACCTAGGTGCCCAATTATTTGTACTTTAACACATATAAACAAGTTTTAACTAAACCATTGAAGTTTTGGATAAATTAGTCATCGTTAACGTTTTAATATGTCTGCATGAATGGCTTCTCAGGCCTTGGGGTGGTCCTTCAGGACTGCTTGATACTTCTGTTTATAAGGCTCTTGAGATCACATACTTTGAAGGTCACCTCTTCAGATGGTCTTGCCTTGGAAAAGTGCCTGCCCTGATCACTCCAGATAGTCCTAGGTGAGGGTTTATATACGCTACTCCTTACACACTGCCCTTCCCTTTGCCTTCTCTACCTAATGCACACTTACTCATCCTTTGATATTTGGCTCCAACTTAGGAGGAGTGATGAGTACTTATGAAAATTCAAAACTTACATATTCTTTGACCCTTCAATTCTCTTTCAAGGAAATACTTGGGGAAACACATAACACATATGAAAGTTCACTGCAGCTTTATTTATAATAGTATATACTATAAAAACTGGAGACCACTAAAGATCTAACAAATGGGAAAACGCATTACAGATTACTTTCAATTTAAATTAAGTCAATCTGTATACATTAACACCGAGTTAAAAAAAAGAAATTAACAGGGAGAGAAATTGGTTCAGCTTAAACCCAGGCCCTCCTCAAGGCCTTCCCCAGCAAAGCTGACCCCACCAGACATGGATGTATCTTTTTTTTTTTAAGATTGTATTTATTTATTCACGAGAGACATAGATAGATAGATAGATAAGATAGATAGATAAAGAGAGAGAGAGAGAGAGGCAGAGACACAGGCAGAGGGAGAAGCAGGCTCCCTGCAGGGAGCCCGACGTGGGACTCAATCCCAGGTCTCCAGGATCACGCCCCTGGCCGAAGGCAGCGCTAAACCGCTAAGCCACCCGGCTGCCCTGGATGTATCTTTATTGCGGAGAGAAACTCCCTGGCAGGTTACTTCTGCAAACTCCCTGAACGCTGACAGGATGTGCATTCTTTACCTCAATTTCCTTAGCACTCACAAGTACCTTGCTTACCAATCTTTATTGGGGGAATAATTGAAAGAACCAAGTCATCACATAGTAAACATATAATTTCTTTCCTAGCACCCTGCCCAACAGCTTAGAATGTGGCCTGGGGCACAATGTGTTTCCAGGGACATCAACTCTACTCTCACTCCAAGAATAAAGCATTTGATTTACTTTAAATCAATCAGCAAGTTACATTCATCTGATTACAGTAATTAGTTTAGGTTGGACAAAGGTACCTAAGCTGAATCAGAGTAAGTCTCAGGATTTCAGCCAGGAATGAGAGGACAAAGGTATTTCCCTAGAGGCTTACAAACGAGAAAGCAATTACCTCTGCTGGGGACTGAGGGAAAGGGGAGAAACCGGGTCTTTGCAATATGGTTTTTTGGGGATATTATCATGTTCTCGGATGATGCTCTGCCTGAACTTTGCAATTTTGTGAATACTATGGACTGGACGTTTGAGACCCCCCTCAAATCCATATATTGAAACCCAAAAGGAACACCTGGGTGGCTCAGTGGTTGACCACCTGCCTTTTGCTAAAGTCCTGATCCTGGGGTCCAGGATTGAGTTCTACATCAGGCTCCCTGCTTCACCCTCTTCCTGTGTCTCTGCTTCTCTCTCATGAATAAAGAAATAAAATATAAAAATAAAATAAAAAAAAAAGAAATCCTAAATCTCCAATCTGATAGTATTTAGAGGTGGGGCCCTTAAGAGGTTTAAATGTTATGAGGGTGGAACATTGCGCTGGGATTAGTGTCCTTATGGAAATAAGAAAGAGAGATTTCTTTCTCTGCATTCATACATGCAAAAACATAACCAAAAAGATAGAGTCCTTACCAAGAACCCACCCATGCTGGCACCCTGAATTTGGATCTCCAGCCTCCAGCGGGGTCAATTTGGTGCTTAAGCACTCAGTCTTTGGAATTCTGTTCTAACAGCTTGAACTGCCTAAAACAGTGAACTAATACATTTTCTATAAACATTTGTAGAGTTTTCTGTAACTTGCAACTAAAATCACCCTGACTGCTCTACAAGGCTTACATGGACATTTCAGCATGGGGGGGGGGGGGGGGGGAAGAACTGGCATAAATTTGGTCACATGCTCTAAAGTTCCTATTGCTCTTTTCCCTAGTTAATGTGCAGATCAGAAGAGATGATACAAAAATGACTAGAATACAGACCAGAAATAATTGTCCATTGTCACAATTCTCATTTATATTTCCCTAACGCAGTGGTTCTCAAAGTGTGGTCCAAAGACCCCTGGGACTCCTGAAATCTTCCATCAAGGGAGACTGCAATTTTCCAGAGGCAATGTGATGTTCCTGAATTATCTGAAAAGGCTATTAAAATCCAACCATGTAAGTGTGATGCTGAATTTTCTTCATATACTTCAACCAAGATAACAACATGCTAACTACAGAAACAGCCATGAGTACCAGCTGCTTTCTATTAAACCAGACTTAAAGAGATTTGTAAAAATGCAAAACAATGTCAATTTTCTTACTACATTTTGTCATTGGGGAAAATTTGTTATTTTTCATGAAAATATTATTTATGTTAACCTACAGTGAACAATGAATTCAGTTATATTGAATGAATACATACCTTACAACCCTCTCAGTTTCACTTTCTTACTTAGTAAATGTCAACAGGTAAAATCCACGTAACAAAAGTTCTCCATAAAGACTCCTAACTCTGGGAAACAACTAGGGGTGGTGGAAGGGGAGGAGGGCGGGGGGGGGGGAATGGGTGATGGGCACTGAGGAAGGCACTTGATGGGATGAGCACTGGGTGTTATTCTGTATGTTGGCAAATTGAACACCAATAAAAAATAAATTTATTATTAAAAAAAAAAGAAAACAAAACAAAAAAAAAACAAAAGTTCTCTGGGATCCTCAATTTTTACTCTTTTTTTTTCTTTTAAGATTGTATTTATTTATTCATGAGAGACACAGAAAGAGAGGCAGAGACATAAGCAGAGGGAAAAGCAGGCTCCATGCAGGGAGCCTGATGTGGGACTAGATTCTGGAACTCCAGGATCATGCCCTGAGCTAAAGGCAGATGCTTATCTGCTGAGCCATCCAAGCATCCCTGGGATCCTCAATTTTTAAGAGTGTAAAGTGGTTCTGAGACCAAAGTGTTTGGGAGCTGCTGCCTTAATCCTTCCTGATCCTGAGGCTCTCTCCTACAAAACATGAAGTGGATCCTGAAGATAGTGCACAGAGACTGGCAGCCATGTCAGTGATCACTGGGGCCCAGCCAGAGTGCTAGGGCCAGCAGGCAGAGGTCTGAGTGGGTGCATGGGCTGCAGGCTAGCTTTTGGAAAGGAGATGTGACAGCACCTTCAAGGGCAGGAAGGCACATGGAGATACATTTTGGGGAAAGAGCAAGAGTTTGCTCCAAAGTAGCTTGCTTTCTTTGTCATACGTATCTGGAGATAAGAGATTGAAACAATTATCTTACATAAAATTGACAACTTATGAGAAAAAGTATATGCTGAGAATGAAACAGAATTCTCTCCAACCTATTTTAAAAGTGAGAGGCAAATTCATATAGCCTGTCAGTGTTTTGTTATGAATCAGTTATTGATTTTATTTTTTTAAAGATTCACTTTAAAAAGATAAATAAATAAAGATTTACTTATTTATTTGAGATAGAGCAAGAGTGAGCATGGGTGGGGGGCGGGGAGAGAAGCAGACTCCCTACTGAGTAGGGAACCTGATGTGGGGCTCGATCCCAAGATATTGACCTGAGTCGAAAGCAGACATTTAACCAACTGAGCCACCCAGGTGCCCCTCAGCTATTGATTTTAAGCTGTAACCAAAGGTAAAACCACAGGCTGAGAAAACAATGTGAACAACCATTGAAAGGAGCTTACCTACTCCACTTGGCTTTCTCCCACATGGACTTTTTGGTGCTGCTAGAATTTCATGTTTTTTCTCTTCCTCTGATGATACAGATGTCTAAAAAGTCCAAAGCACCATAAAAGATTAAGTTAACTGAGGTTTTTACAACAAGAAGGCAAGACTAACCTCAACTTAATTAAAACATCTAGCATCTTGTAACATGAAAGACTACTTTCAAGTCTGTGCAAAATTGAAAATGAGTACCTGCCAACCTTCAAAAACAAACAAAAAAAAACCCAAATCAATCTAATCTCATAGTTCACTCATCAATGGTTTTCCCATTGCTTTAAAAGTAAATCTCCAACTTAGTATGAGACTCCTGCTGATCACATCCCCTCCCTAGTTAGGTCTGCATTTCTCCACAACACATCTTGCATCACTGCAGTGCCCATAGCTCACAATGGACCCTCCTGTTTCATGTGCAGAACACACTTTTGCCTGCATGGCTCTTTTGTTTCTTTCTCCTCTGGTAAACCTCTACTTTACATGTAAAACCCCACTCAAATGTCCTTGCAAGCCCTCCCATCTGTGTACCCATTGTTCCTGCTGGTAAGTGAGTCTCCTCTGCACTATACATAGACCTCATGTTTACTGCTACCTTGTCTCTCATATATTTAGAGGGTGCCATGAAATCAGGCTGCAAATGGGATATAGAGATTCAAGTTATATTTTGGAAATGGAACATGTTAAGAACTGGCAATGGATTAAATGTGGGGAGACAGGAAGAGACTGAGGGTGACTTCTGGTGTTTGGTTTGAGTAAATGGAACTATGACAGCGCTATTTACTGAAATTATTGAGGTTCTTAGCTTCCCAGCCACAGGATATGATAACAATGTGTAAGTGTCTTAAGTGCAGTGGGAACAGGAGCCGTGCAATGCTTAAGGATACACATGTCTGAGTGCAGTACATGGTACTCACACCATCTATGGCTCAGTGTAACTAAACCATCAGCCATACCTCAGTTTTCAAGGTGCCTTTCAGTGCCTGTCCTCCCGAAACATTCAACGGAGACTCTTCAACACCTAATGAAATTCAGACCATTAAACCAATTTAAGAATCAGCTTACAAAATACATGCTGAATCAAAAGGTAACAGAATATTATTTAGCATGCCCTGGCCTCTTCCCCTGTTGTTTTATTTTGCTGTCAGTACGTAACAATAAAAGGAATGCCGATGAAAAATCTTGGATGAAACACAAGGGTCATTTGCTCATTTTGCAGGGTGTGTGTGTGAAATTGTTTCTTACTATTAAGATAGCTGCCCAGAAAGAATAACAAAAGATTATTTCTGGAGACATCATATTTCCAAATATTTTTCTACATGTTCTGCATCAAGTTTGGCCCTAAAAGAAAATATTCTGGGTTGCTGAGATATATTCTCAACAAAGAAAATGTTTATAAACAGACTCACTTTGCTTGCTTCACCCTGACGCAGCAAAGTTGATCAAGTTAGGAAGCTATGAGTCAGACAAAATAAAATGGCATTTTCCCTGGTGGAGACTCAACCTTATCCCTGCTGCAGTCCTTTCTCTCTCCCTTGTCTGTGACCATGGCTTCCAGTTCTTTCACCCACCCATGCAGAAGCCTCCAGAGAAAAACCTTCCTTTTTCTACAGGCTGCAGGCTTTTCCTTGCTAAAATCTCTTGTTTTTGCTCCTTCAGGGAAACAAAGGTGAGGAGGAAGGAGTAACAGGCTGTAGTCAATGGTTAAGTCATAAAAATCTGCAGAGCATTCAATTTGCTCAAGCTAAACTCAATGGAAAATTTTCAAGTTCCTTATTTCAACCCTCGGAACACTTAACACCCCTTTTAAGTCCCTATAACGAACAGGACTCAATCTACTGGCCTCAGCTTCCTGAGGCTGTATTTGATGACATCCAAGGTCTGGTGCAGTTTAAAAGTTGAGGACACTCCAATTTGTACAACCAGAGTAGAAGAGTCAATATCCCTGACCTCTCAAATCCAGCCCATGACATCCCCTTGAATTCTCACATCATCTAAGCACTTGCCACCAGAGTCACTGCCTACTTAAAAAACAAGGCTGGATTCACAGCTGCCCCCCATTTTGAAGTTATCTTTGCATCCCAAGAACCTAGCACAGAAGTGTCCCAAGTTGGATGGCACAGTGTGCCAGTGACTGACGCCAAAGTTTACCCCTTTGAAAGTTATCAAGTATTTCTAGCAAGATCGACACTCTCTGAAATGTCAGGAGGGAACATGTTTCCTTTCACTTTCAAATTCCAAACCAGAATTCATTTTACCTGAACTAAACACTCAGGAAATAATGTGCTCCCCTGATCACAAGTAGCCAGCCAGATGGACTGAAATGACACATACTACCAGTTTAGAGGACATTAATGAGGGCTGGATTGGTGTGTTTTTGCTCTATAATCCCCATTTCCTACAACAGAAAACTGAGGCTCAGAGGTACTTTTTCCTAAAGGGCCTCAAGTATTATGCAAGTTATTTAAACTCTCAGAATCTATTTCCTATTTGTAAAATGAGGATGATAAAAATACTCATTTCACAGGGCTGCAGTAAGCTAGTATTTATTTTGACAAGAAGCCTGAAGGTCAGAGGTTTAGTAACTTGCAGTAATCACGCAGATGGCACATGGCTGGCTGACTTCCTGTCCTCTAGCTTCCTGCCTCTGCTCTCCCGGCACACGGGAAATGGGTCTAAGGTTTTCAGCTTTTAAATCCAAATTTCTAAGCTCAACCTTCCCATTAGAAGTTATTTTGTGACATTCTGGAAGCAAAACCATCTTTCAGAAGACTGTCTTAAATGTACTCTACATGCAATTATCTTTGTAAAATGCTAAAATGTACTATTAAAAGATTCTCACCTAGGTCATGAAAATTTTCTTCAGGTGGAATAGTGACCTTGAGGTCTCCTTCCTGCTGGGATGATTTCCTCATGCCATTACCATCTCCTGCTTTCTCACTGGACCCTTGAACCAGCCGTTTGCCATCATAGGCAGCTGGAAGGGCTGGCACCTGGGAAGGGCCAATTTCTGATTCTTGGCCATTAATACATTCAGTGGTGGTCTTCACGGGGGCTGAGGGCCAGGACTGCTCAGGGGAGGGCAGCTCCCCTGCGGAGTCTCTGGCAGGTGGCACATCATCGGCTTTCTTAGCACCGAGACTTACTGCTGGCAAACAGGAGGTCCTAAGGGAAGGGTCCTCAGCTCTCGGCCCTGCCATTTGCTCTGGTCCCATTGGATCCTCAGGTGAGTCTGCTCCCCTCTTCAAGCCCCTCCCTGCCCAACAGGTGCTATGCCCTGCAGGAGTTGCTTCCTGGCTGCCCTGCCCTCCCTGAACAGAGCTCAGCCACACACTCCTGTCTGCAGCATTTCCGAGGCACGAACTGTTCTGACTCTGTCCCTTCCCTGCCAGCGGCACCTCATGGGGCCCATCCTTGCTGCACCCCTCTTCCAGTGCTCCCGTAGCACCTAGTTGGCCACCCACAGCAGACTGCACGTTGACAGCCAGCCTGTGGTGCCCCTCCTCGGGACCCATGGCTCTGTTCCCTGCCAGCGGCCCAGGGGGCAGATGGCTGTTCTCAGCCATCAGGCTGGGACTTGGGGCTTCGCTCTTGTTCATCCTGGTGGCTGACGTGTCCTCTTTCCCATCCAGGTTGCTTGCGGTCTGTGGGCCCTCCTCATGCCTGTCGAGGCCAGTGGGCGCCAGCATGCACTCGGCTGTGCTGGTGGAGATGATGGCAGCATCACTCAAGTCCTCCATCCTTGCTGCGGTGGGTGGCTCATCATCCTGCGGGGCAGCGCCCATCATGACTGCCTCGCGGCCTTCAGAGGTGCTCGTGGAAATCATGGTGGTGTCACTGATCTCCTCCACTCGTGTGACCGAGGGCTGGACTTCCTCCCGAGGGGCAGCGCTGGACACAGGGCCCTCACAGTCTTCTCCCGAGCTGGTGGAGATGATGGCACTCCCGTCTTTCTCTTCTAGGATGGTAGCAGGTCGCACCTTTTCACTTTCTGCAAGGACACCAGAAATAGAGGCCTCGCACTCCTCTGCTATGCTGGTGGAAATGAGTGCACACTCATCTTTTTCCTCCTTGCTGGTTGAGGCAAGAGGGCTTTCAACTTCTGCGGGAGCGCTGGGCATGGGACCCTCAAAGTCATCAGTGCTCGCCAGGCTGGGGCCTGGAGTGCTTTCTTCGGCAGCAGCCACTGGCGGCTGACTCTCCACACATGTGACGGTTGTGGCGCTGGAAATGGGCACTTCGAACTCTTCCCCTATGCTCGTGGAAATCATGGCACACTCATCTTTCTCTTCATTTCTCATCACGGGGAGTTGGCTTCCATCTCCTGACACCGCACTAGGCATGGGGGCCTCAAATTCCTCCATGTTTATTCTGGTGCCTTCTATACTTTCTCCAGTTCGAAGGGCGCTTGAATGACCTTCTTCCATGCCTGTAACTGTGCTTAACTGAGAGGTGTAGTCATTTGTGGTGCTGGTGGAAATCATCAAGCCTTTGCCTGGACTTTTGGCCCCAGCTACACAAGTTTGGTTGGTAACACTATCACTGGCTGTGGTGGCCATAAGGCCATCACATTCTTCATGGTCCACAGAAGTGATGATACCTTCGTCTTCTTTTCCATTGGGTGATGTGTGACCAGCTTCCCGTTCTGGGACTGCCCCTGATGCAAGTACCTCATAACTGCCTCCCACCAAGCCAGTTGAAATAGTGGTATCCTCAACTTTTTCTTTTCTGTTGAGCAGACTGTCACTCTGACCTGAAGCAGCACTAGTCATGGGACCCTCGCAACCCTCGGGAACCGGTGCCACTTCACCCTTCCCTGAAGCTGCACTGGTCACACTACTTTCTACAATCCCTTTTGCACTGGAGCAGATCTCTACTTGTTTCATGCCCTTCTCCACACCACTCATGCTGTCAACATTGCTCTCATTGGCATTGGTGATGGCAGGTCCGGCATCAGCTCCCATGCACCCTGCTGCAGTACCGATCTGACTATCACCTTCTTCAGCACTTCCACAAATCGATACACCTTCGCTTTCCTCCTCTGTCCCAGTGCAAATGGATGCATGACCAATTTCATTTCCTCTTCCAGTACTGGTCACCACCCCTTCGCCTTCCTCATCCTCCTCTTTTGCACCTGTGCTAGTTACGATTCCTTCATCATCACATGGCCCAGCGGCAACCGATGGCACATTAGTGGCTTCTGTGGCTACTGTGCTGTCCATTGCACTCTCTCCACTGTCTTCTGATTCAGAACTTAGAGCAAAGCCCTCACTGCCCTCTTCTGAACCTGTGCAGCTCGCTGGCCCCTCTCCATCTTCTTCTGTTATTCCTGTGCTGGTGACGGCACTTTCGCCTTCTGCCCCATCATTCACAGAAGCATCTCCTTCCTGGGGGGCACTGGTTCCTGGTGGTGTGTCGTTACTGACCAGGGCCACATGCTCCTCTTGTTGCTCGGCGCCTGTTACAGAGCACATAACAGAGGTAGCACTTCTCCTTTCTGCTCCGGTGCATGTCACAGTCCCCTCAGTCTCTTTTTTGGGGTCCATTCTTGTCATATTTCTCTGAAATCCATCCACCTCTTCACTGCTTAAGGAGCCCTCCCTTATTTCTGTTCCAGCACTTGTCACTGCGCCATCACTTTCAACTTCACTAATAATAAAGGCAACAGTTCCCTCAGCCATTTCCGAGTCTCTACGTGAAGAACCATCACACTTTTCTTCAGAGCCAGCACTAGTGACAGCATCATCTTTCTCTTCTGTCACACCACTGTTGACATTGTCTTCAACCGTAATTGTGTGAGCAACCACAGGCTCCACTGCCCTTTCTTCAGATTCAACCATGGCACACTCTCCACTCTCTCCTTCCTTGGTGCTTGTGAGGAAAGTTTCACTTTCAGCAAATCCTTCTGTGACAATACCTCCACCTTCTTCAGCTGCAGCAAAGACAGTGCATTCACTGGCTTCTGCCCCAGCATGGAGAGGATTGTTTCTAGAACATGCACCTGTTATGAAGCCTTCATCTGCCTCAATGCTGGTGCAGGGCACAGCTACCTCACCCTCTCCTGTTTCTGAGGAAGTGGTTGTGGCATCCCCTGCCTTTACTGTGTGTAAGGGAACACCTTCATCCTTTCCTGCAGTACTAGTGGCAAGAGAAGTCTTCTCTGCTCTGCCAGACCCAGCTGCCCCATTGGCAGTCTTTTCATTCCTCTGCTGTAACACGGAGAAAGCAGCATTACTTCCAGCACTGGTGTCAACCTCATTGTTTTCAGTCCTTCTTTCAACTGCAACTGATGTGTCTTCTGTATCACCTGGGCCACTACTACATTTATGTTGTACAGTCTCAGCATCTTGTTCTGTACTCATGCCTACTGCAGGGTCAATAGTGATGCTATGCTTTTTGCCATTTTCTAGTACAGCTCTCACTGTCTGCTTTGAACTAGGCTCTGTGTTAAAGTCACTTTCTCTCCTGGTCATGTCCATCAAGCTGCCTGCCTTGTTAGCATTCTCATTTTCCATATTCACATCTGTTAGCTTGCTGTCAATGTTTACTTTTCCTTGTCTAGTGTGCAGCACAGTGGGCTGGTCATCTTCTGGAATGTGTCTTCTGCTATCCATGTTTGCTTTTGTTGGTGTATCTACTGTGGAAACTACCCCACTTTCCTTGCTGTCATGTGTCCTAGGGACTTCTGGTTCTCTAACAGTCACACTTTGGTTAGGAATATCAGAGTGCTCCACGAGTGAGGTGCTGGCTGTGCTGCCTTCTAAAACAGTTGTTTTCTCAATCAAAGGATTTACATCTGCATCACAAGATTGTTTCTGAGGCATAACAGTTACTGAACTTAAGGATGGTGAAGGATCTAAATTTGGGGAATGTTCATGATCAGCATGTCCTTGAGCAACATGTTCTTCAGTGGGTCCGGTTGTGTTTTTCAGATTCTTTTGTGTCCTATCATTTTCTGATGGGGCTCGACACATTGGTCTATGACTAGTTTCAGAGTCTGTGTTTGTTTCATAAGTTCCCTGTTGAATGGGTTCTTTCTCCCCAGGATTCAGTTTGGACACAGTACTTTGGATATGCACTTTCTTAGTCAGGGTGCCCTTATGGTCAGCGTGTTTTTCTGAATTACTAACAACTGTCCCACGTCCTGATTTACAGGCTACAACTGCTGTTTTTGAATCTACTGTGGAAGTTCTTAATTCATCATTTAGAACCATGATAGTGGTTTTATGTTTCATAATATTTTCAGAGTCAGTGTCTTGCTGCGAATTATTATTATTGCTGTCTTGGGTTTTAGATACTTCAAATACATTTTCAACAGCTGGCTCAGAATCAATTTCCATTGGCTCTTGTTCAGGCATTAATGTGACATCACTGGTCTTTTTCGGTTTCTGAACAGAGGAAATATTGGGAGCACTCAAAGAGTTTGCTGATTTTTCTTCTCCTTTGGTCATTTCTTGGGACAAGCTTCCTCTTCGGTTTTCACATAACCTTCTACTTAATTTCTTTTCCATAAGTGAACTATTCCCTCTGCCCTTTTCATGGTTACTGTCAACTTCTTTACCATCCTTGTCATCTGATTTTTCTTCCTTCTTTTTCACTTCCTTACTACCATGCTTGAAGCTTCTGCTTTTGTGCCCATCTGATAACTTCCTCTCAGGTCTGGAGGAGCCTGAATCTTTATCAGCCTTATATTTCTCCTTTGCTAACGCTAACTTGGTTCTGTGATTAGAATCCTTCTGTGCACCATGTGAAGTAGAGGCACTATCCGATACAGCTTCAACACCACTTTCCTCAGGTTTGTCTTCAACTTTAGACTTTCGCTGTTTATCTGGGTCATTCTCCTCTGTATTCTTCTCCTTATCTGGTTTTGGAGTGGCTGTCTGTTTTGTGACAGTTTCTTGTGATTCCATTTCAACTACTTTTAACTGTTTACCTTGACTTTTTGGCTTTTGGTTAGACCTTAACGTAAGTTTCTCCTCTAGTAAGCTCTTTGTTTTTCGCTTTTCCTTGTGAACAACCTCTTCTGGTTTTGAATTACTATCTAAATTAGTTGAGTCTGTATCACACTTATCCTCTGAATAACTTTCACTTCTTCTCTGTAATGTGATTCCATGTTGCTTGGAACTCAGAGAATCTTTCTGAATTTTAGAATCACTTGATCTTCTTGATTTGTGCTCTGCCTTAGTTTTTTCGGCTGATATGTGCCGCTCTTTTTTGTTGTTTTCTTTACGAACATTCTCATCTGTTTTTATAATATATTCAGAAACCGGCTTTCCATCTTTGCCTAAGATGGATAATTTCCTTTCATTCTTATGTTTACTTTTTCGTTCAGTTTTATCATCTGAAGAAAGTTTGGTTTGTTGACTTTGCTTTTGAATATTTTCATCCACTTTTAAACTTTTCTCGGAAGAGTGAAGCTCAGACTCATCACTTGTTTTGTGCAGACAGTCACCTTTATATTTATGTTTTACAAATAATTTGTCTTCTGACAGAGTCTTCTCTTTTTCAGGCTTCTCCTTAGAGGATTTAGCCTCTTTCTTAGGTAGGCTCTTCATATGTGGGGTTTCAGAATCATCTTTTTTTAGATGCTTTTCGTTTTTAAGTGTGCTTTTCTGTTTCTGGGGCTCTTCTGTGCCAATTTCTGACCGTTCCACTTGCCTTTTCCCATCTCTTGTATCAGGCTCTTCTTGGGGCCCTTCCACCACAACAGGGGTAGATGTGCGTCTTTTATGTTCTCTTTCTATTTTGGATTCATTTTTGTTTTCATCAGCTGGATGCAAAGACTCTGAAAGTCTCCGGGCAGGTTTACTTGGTTCACTTTTGGCATGAACATGCTTCAGATCCTTTGAAGAAGATACCTTTTCCTTTTCACAATGCTGTAAAAAAACAAAAGTTAAAATATGAGCAATACTAAAGTCAATTTTTATTTTCAAACTTAATATTTAGATACAGTGGATATGCTGAATGCTACCATGTGTCACATGTCACTTAATCTTAGCCAGCAACCTGTGGTAGGTACTGGTGATCTCCTTTTATGCACCAGGAAACTGAAACTCAGCGTGACTTCATAACCTGATAACCAGACAACAAGTTTGAGGATTTCATTCTCAGTTGAAGACTCTTCCCACTACATCATAGATGTTTGTGCAGAGACTAGTTATTTCTCCTTAGACTTATCCATCACTTGGGAGGACTTTAACTCCAAATTGTTAAAGCTCATTAATACCCAGTAAGTACTAATAAATATAAGCTGCATGAATAATAGTTGATGTTCTTTTTAGACCTAAAGCATAATACCTGATGATGAAGACAATTTAAAAATTTCACTGAAATAAAGGTTTCCTAAATTTTAATTTAGGAGCATGAATTATTTATGGAAACCTCATGAATCCAGGCTGCTTGTAGGACATTCAATACACACAATAACAGAATAACTCACTGTAAGTAACTGTATCACATATAAAGCATGCTATGTTTATGTATCCAAAGGAAGACACTGATGAACTAGTGCATCTGACCCTTCCTTCCTGCCCCACAGTATGGCACTGAGGAGATTATTAATATTAACAAGTGAATGCTGACTAAATACACTCACTGACTACAACTGTAATTATGCTTATTCAAATAATGTGCTGAAGGTCTCAGAAAGATCTGTGTCTTTGGGTCAGTTTATCATTGCACCTTCCTTACAATGCAACACAAAGATTAACGCAATTCTACTAACTCAGAGTAGGACACAGCAAAATATTAAAAAATACATTAAAATTAAACTCATCAAAGAAAAAAATTAGGATTTTATCAACCTAATTTTATAGTGAGTTCCAACCAATTAATGTTAATAAAATTTTATGAGATAATTTTTCAAAGAAATTTATTACAAAATGAAGTTAAATATTTTAAAATATGCCATTAAAAACATCAGGACATATTTATAAATATGCCTCTAATTTCCGAATAAAGAAATCAAGATTTATTGGCTATGAACAAATAATTACTAAATTATTAGTTTTCCCTTGGAAATGTTAGCATAGTTTAGGTATGGGGGTGCCTGGCTGGCTCATTTGGAAGAACATGAAACTCTTGATCTCTCAGGGTCATGAGTTCAAGCCCCAGGTTGGATGTGGAGCCTACTTAAAAAATGTTTGGCTTCAGAATTATAAATATGGCAGAGTAAATAAAGATTTAAACCCAGTGAAAGCAAAAGTTTATCCCAAGAAAATAATCCAAATGAGATAAAGAAATGAACTCACTGAATATATTTTTACTATTTAAATTGATCAGAACTTGGAAGTAATCTAAGTGGTCAACTCTAAGGAAATGCTTAAATGATGGTATGTCTATTCAATAGAATACTATACAATCATTAAATATAGGATTAGAAGCTTAGAAGGTAATGCTGAGTAAGAGGGAATGTTAAAATCCTTTTGCAAGATTACATCTACTCTAAAAAATTATGTACATTTGTGGAAGAGAATGAAATGCAAGAGAATGAAATGCCTCCCTCCGCTTTCTTTCCCATTATCACTACTAGCAACTTTGTTATTGTCAATATAAGAAATGGGCGGGGGGTTGGGGGGGGTAAGGGAAAGGAAAGTAGAAAAAAGTAGGTATTACCTCGATAAAAGAGCATGGGAATCAACTGGCCAAAATGAGGAATTCAGGCCATAACAGGATGGCGATTCAAGAATGATGAGGGTGAGGGATTTTTTAATTTAACTTGGAAAAGACCAAACTTAGCTCTAAGTTTTCCTTCAAAGGACTGAGTGGCCTGTATCTAACAAAAGAACATTTAAAATGGGTTTTATTAAGACACACCTCACTTGTCTTGAGAGTTTCTTTGGAATCTTCTTCAGATTGCAGTTTCTTTTTAGAATTCTCTTCAACATTCCTAAGTGGGAGGAAAAAGTCATATATTTGAATCAAATATAAGAATTTCTTAGGAAGGTTAAAAAAAAAAGGTTAGCTTTCTTTCCTTTATTATAAACAATCCATAAATGAAGACTCGTTACATTTCAATTTAACTCCTATCTTAGTTAACAGAAGCAAACACAATTCTCAAAGTGACACAGACTAACTTACTTTTGGTGCTAAAGCAAAGGATACTTGAAAAAAAATTCCTGATTTGTTGCTTAAAGATGAATATTTTATGGGCTATAGATTTTGAAAGTCTTACCATGTTTTGAGTAAACAGTAAAGTCATATTTATTCAGATCAACAGGAATAAGTTACAGTAAGAAAACCGAGAGCAGACTTCTCTGAGTTCTGTCAACTACTGATTCAGCTACCCTGAAGTCTGTGACAAATGTACATAATTGCACCCCGATTATTGCCTATGGCTCCCAGCATGTCAGAGTTATTTTCAGTCTCCAGCTTTCTAAGTTTTATGGAATTCACTCTGAGAATGCAATGATAAGTAAGAATTTGGTTCAGCCCTCTGGTTTATGGGGGGGAAGCATAAGGTACTGTTGAAGAGAATGCCCAAAAGCCCGGAAGATGGGAGCAGTCATTGTAAATAAAAGGTTATTGAATGTCCATAGTGGGGATATTTCCTGAGTGTTCTAGAGGGTCTAGAAACTCGCTGAAATTCTAGAAAAAACTGTCTATGGATGTGCGTTTTTCCAGGGAGAATCCAAAGCTGCTGTCAGATTATGAAAAAGCACTGGGGATCTCCCCCCAAAAAGAGAGTAAGATACACTACTTTGAACTATAGATACTAACACAATGAATTATGATATGAAAAGTGAGACTCCACAGTTTTCATAAACATACAATGATACACACATTCACAGTATGGCTCTTTATTGTCACTGCCAATGCTCTCTTCTGAAAGCATGCCAGGGAATGTGACAATGGGAATGCTGCCAGATAAAATATGTACCTTGAATCTTTCTTTCTTTTTTTGCTTAAGGCTACCTTTTTCTCTAAAACTTTCCGTTCTTTAAGGACTTCTTTAATCCTGGGGGTTTTAGGCTCCAAACTCTTTGTTGATGATTCTTCTAAGTCCACACTATTTTTGCCTAGGAAAGAAGGAATCAATAAACTGAATTTCAGAACGGAGTTTATAAACAGTGTAATATTTCGTTTTCATTAAGATTTTCTAATCACTGCAAAAATGCTTTATGGCTTTAGTATTCTGATGTTATGGTGGAATAAAATAGAATTTTAGATGGAGGAGTCTTACCTTTATTTCAAATGCATATGTATGTGTGTATGGTTTTATATACTACTGAGGATCAGTGCCCAGAGGAAGTTCAGTTTTGTTCAATTCTAGACAAATGTCTGTCACTTTAGTTAACATAAAGCATAGATTAATTCTACTAACATCACCAGCAAGGCTTGATTACTCACAGGTTAACAATTCATTTTCCAACGATAATTCAATTCCACAATCATTGGGAAATAAATGAGTTGTATAAGCTGGTACCTGATAGAATGTTTAGACACAGAAATAGAATTTAAAATGTGATCCAACACATCAGATTAAATAGGAAATCTCCCATACCTAAAGAAAATACACATTTCTTCATACAGCAGCTTTTCTGAGATGGAATTTAGATCATTTTATAATTTCATAATATGAATATATAGAAAACAATGAAGTATATATTTTAAAATATTAAAGTTAACATGTCCTATACCTTGACTCTTAGCTTTCGAAGACTTTGTTTTTTCAGCTTTCTGCTTTCGTTTTTCTTCAAGTTTCTCTCTATTAATTTGCCTTCTTAAAAGCCTTTCTTCTTTTTCTTTAGCCTAAAACCACAAAATATTCACAATTATCCTAACCAACCATCAGGAAAAAGCAAAAACAACTGAAAAAAAAAAGTTTGCCCTTCAAATGTTCTTACAAAATAATAAGCTTTGCAAAGGTGCATATTCATTACACAATTTGGAAACTACCAGAAGAGTAACAGACAGTTACGATGCCAAAGGCATTATTTTGGGAAATGGTGGTTTAATAAACCAGTTAGTTTAATTAGAAGGAGAGCTGTGAAGTGCACCTGGGTGGCTCAGTTAAGCATCTGACTCTTGATTTCAGCTCAGGTCATCATCTCAGGTTTGTAAGACTAGGTCCCATGTGGGGCTCTACACTGTGCATGGAGTCTGCTTAAGATTCTGTCTCTCTGCCTCCCTCTGCCCTCTGCCCCACTGCTCTCACTCTCAAAAAAACCAAAAAACCACAATAAACAAAATCCTATTGCATTAAAAAAAATAGTTGTGAAAATATATATGAACATCAAGTATACATAGGCAAATCTCTGTTAACCTTTAAATTATTCTTCAAGGAGAAGGTTGAAAAGTTGAAGCAAACGCCAGGTAAAGGACTAGTTAGTAGGTACAACAAATACAACTTGCTAGTTATGCTCTCAGGACCCAGGTTTTGAACATGGGATTTTTTGCTTTCCTATTTAAAAAAAAAAACAAACCAAGAATCCAGTCATTCTTGGTTACTCCCACCATCCTTTCTCTGCTCAGAACTCAAAGTCTCAAAGTGCCAAAAACCCTAAGTACAGGCATTAACTCCTGATGAAGTAAGTTTCTCAAAAGATAAGCCACTGGGCAGCCCAGGTGGCTCAGCGGTTTGGCGCCGCCTTTGGCCCAGGGTGTGATCCTGGAGACCTGGGATCAAGTCCCACGTCGGGCTCCCTGCATGGAGCCTGCTTCTCCCTCTGCCTGTGTCTCTGCCTCTCTCTCTCTGTGTCTCTCATGAATAAATAAATACAACTTAAAAAAAAAAAAAAGAGATAAGCCACTATCAGCATTTCTACTTCCTTCAAATAATTTTTCTAATATTTTCTCATTCTAAGATGTCCAATTCCTATTTTAATGTTTCTAAAACTGAATCATCTTAAAACTGATATACACACATGATGAAGCAACAATTTTTTTCTCAAAGAAGGTATAATAATCCAAGGACACATCTTGTAACTAGAAAATATGTAGACTGCACTTCCCATCTGTTGATGGCTGCACATCCTCTGTACTGCTCAATCCACATTGGTTTCAAACATGTCCATCCTGTGAAGCATTCATTACTAGTTTTTCACTATTGATCATAATGACACGAACACCTATGTCCCATGTTTATGTCTGTTCTCCCTCATTAAACACTAGGTTCCAAAGGCAGAACTGATGTGCCACGGTTTGTTGCGCTGCCCAGTGCCTTGTACACAGACTAGTTTTCAAACCTTATTAAATAGGTTAAAATAGCAAGAGATCAAGTCTGACTTACAATTGACTGGCGCCTTTGTTCTACAGTAAGCTCATCGTCAGAATCACTGTAATACTTTGAGTAAAGATATGGTTTGTGAACATAAGCATGCCGTACACTTTTTGCTTTTCCTTCACTGGGATCACTGGTTTGAGTTTTTGTTTTGTTCTGCTTGTTCTTCTCTTCATCTGGAAGAAAGCCAATAAAAAAGGAGTGCTTCTATGAAATGCCAATAAAATCAATACTATGCTTGATCAACATCAAGCAGCAAAAGCAATACCAATGTAGTTAAAGTGTATTTGTAGGTCCAATGGGAAATATCAGTATGCAAAAAATCAGAAATAAACATTTTTGAAGGCTGTAATCCATATCTTACTTTATTTTTTTACAATTAGCTTCTCACACATAAAGAAAGCAAAGAAAAAGAAAAATTATATCTCTTGTCATTTATGGTCCCTAAACAAACAGTTAATTCTCATTTGTATGCCAGTGGACTTGGTATGAATATTCTACCATTATAAGACTGAACAGATTTACTCTAAGCCACACTTTATTTTTTTTAATTCAAGATTTTAATGACTACCTAAAAGTCTCTCATTTATGCAAGAGGCAAGTTAATAACTGGCCCTCCACCAAGTATATACTAAAACCCTTCTGCTTTGGAGTGCCTGGGTAGGCAGTCGGTTAAGTACCTGACTTCAGCTCAGGTCCTGATTTCAGGGTCCTGGGACTGAGCCCTGTGTTGGGCTCCACACTCAGCAGGAAGCCTACTTCTCTCTCTCCCTCTGCCCCTTTCCCTCTGCTTATTCTCAAATAAATAAATAAATAAATAAAATCTTAAAAATAAAATGCCTCTACCTTAGGAAGGCACGTTGCCCCATTATATAACAAGTAGAAAATCTGTAAGCAAGGTTTTTATTTCCTACCACTTAGTACTCTTAAAATAATCATCTTACTTTTTTAAAGATTTTACTTATTTAACAGAGACGAGACAGAGAGAGAGAGAGAGAGAGAGAGAGAGAACAAACAGGTGGAGCAGCAGGCAGGGGGAGAGGGAGAAGCAGGCTTCTCACTGAACAGGGAGCCTGATATGGGACTCGATCCCAGGACTTTTGGATCATGACCTGAGCCGAAGGCAGACGCTTAACCTACTGAGCCACCCAAGTGCCCCACCTTCTTACTTTTTGGATATTACACATGTAAAACCCTAGTCCTGTCCAGGGAAAAATTTGAGAAGCCCCACAAAAGCACCTAGAATGAGAATTTTAATCAGGCTTCAGAAAGTAGGGTGCTCACAGGATGAATGGTATTCATCCTACATAGGGCCTACAGAACTGACCTCACAAGGAGATATGAAAAATAGTGAATGCTGATGTTGCTTTTCGGGCTGGTCATTTTGTTTTTTGGGGATATTAAGAATGTAAAACAGGAGAGACTGAAAAATATATCCATGGAATTAAAAGCATCCACTTTTTCTCCTCTAGGATTTTCTCTCGAGGTGTTCTCTCCAAAAGCCAATGGCAAATTTACAAAATGCTATTTATAAGTAATTGAAATATTTGATTTTTAAAAAAAGTCATAAGCAGAACTTAATTATGGGATACAGAGGAGCACAAAGTGTTGGTTAGAAGCCCAGTCTCAGGTTTGAAATTGGCACTGGAGCTCAAAAGCTGTGTGACCCTAGACAGGATCCCTTCTCTTGATGACTATTTCCTCACCTGGACCTACTTCTCAGGGCTACTGTGAGGATTACAGAAGCTAGTACACAGAGCAGTGTGATAACTTAATACAATGCCTGGATCACAGTGCGCTTAATATGGGTTAGCTGAAAAACAAACCATGAAGTATGGTTTTGCCCTGGGACAAGACAAAACTATGTTCTAGCTTCTTGGGTGGAATCAATTTCGAAGTCTCTGGAATGTCATGTCAACAGGAGGATCTGTTTGCCTGGGGGTCTACAGTCAAGTTAACTCATCTAACAGTATGATCTGGGTTGGGAGATTTGGGACAGGGGGTGTCAGCTTGATCTTTGGAGGCGTTGGGGACTGAGATCAGACACCGTGCCTACGTGATAGAGCCCCAGCAAAAACTTTGGACACTGGGGCTTATGCGAGCTTCCCTGGTTGGCAATTAGTCATATATATTGTCTGATATCAATGCCAGGAAAAGTAATGCTCTCCATGACTCCACTGGAAAAGGACAACTGGAAGCTCCATGTCTGGAACTTTCTTGGACTCCAGCCTATGTGCCTGTTACCTTGGCTAATTTTAATGTGTGTACCTCAGCTGTAATAAACCATCATCATACATTTTAAAGCCGATTTCAGTGAGTTCTGTGAGTCCTTCTAGGAAATTATCAAACCTAAGTGTAGGCTTGAAGACCCCACATTTGCAACTGGTGTCAGAAGTAAGAACAATCTTGTGGACTATGCTCCTTCAACATCACCCATACGAACCCAGATACATACACTCACACATACAGCATCTTAATATACACTGTCTCATCTACATCTTCTAATAAACCTGGGGAATGGAGTTAAAAGATGGAGAACCAAGGCTTATTGAGTAACTTACCAAGCTTGCTCAGACAGACAACCTCGGAGCTGGGACTCAGAAACAAATCTTCCAACTACAAAGTCCCATGCTCTTGCCACTATACCACACTGTCTTTCACGATATAGCCATCTGAATATACAAATAATGCTTGACGGGAAGCTTCACAGAGGCATTATTAAGTAAAATGCTTTACCATCTGATGTAATCTCTCCTTCTTCCATGCTATCAGACATTACAACTTCCTCCTCAGTGTCTTCTTCAAAAGATGAGAGGTCACTGGTATGGACAGAGCTAACTGTGATGTCTGTAAGTCCATCCACATCAGAATCTATCAAAGAGCAATCTTCAAGAAGGAAATAAAACATGAAGATAAATCATGTTGTTACAAGAACATATTCAGCACCCAGTTCCTAAATTACATTTATAATTTTCTGCATTAAGTACATGTCAAAGACCTTCAACTTTAAAAATAAAAATTGCTCAAAAAATGGAAAGAAATAGAAGTCTCTCGTCATTTATAACGAGTATCAAGGTAGAGCTGTTTTGGGGGAAAAAAAAGGCAAACTAGTATTCTATAAAAATAACTAATTTATGATGTAAATGACATACACAACAGCAAATGTTAAGAAAGTGAAATATTTACTAATATTTTAAAGATTAGGATGTACAACTAATGAATTAAATTGCCTGAAATAATGTGTGCATAAATTACAGGTAAAATGATAAGGTTTAGAGCTTCTCTATTGATTTACTTTGTGAGTTGGTACACTGACATAGAATATACAAATGTTTTTTTATTCTTTAGCAAAGGGGATATGAGTTTTTAGGCTTTTGAAACACAAGTATCAAATAAATTTATTAAAATTTGAAAGATAATTTGACACCCCCACCCGGATAATTTTTGATCTGTAAACAGTTGTAGATTTTTGCAAGTTTTTATATACCTTCTTTTGTCCCTTCAATGGTTTTAGCTTTATTACTGTTCTTTTCTGAAGGGAGTTTTGAACACTCTACTTCTTTTTCCTTTACTTGCTTTTCCTCTTTCACTTTTTGTAATTCCTCACTCCTTTTTGAGTGATCAAATTTCTTTTCAGTCTTTTCCTTCTTTTCTTTCTTTCTTTCTCCTTTGTCATTGCTCTCTGGCTTCTTTTCACCTTTGTCTGTTGATTTGTTTTTTTGGTCACTGTTTTCCTGTTGAACCTCCTTAATTAACTGAATTGAACTATTGCTCTCTTTTGTATGATTTTTAATTTCTTCAACTGGACAAGGGAGATCAGTAAATTCTTCAGACTTAGGGGCTGTTTCCTGTCCTTCCCCTGCAGAGTCGGATGCAGATTTTTCTTTTTCGGCCATGTCCTCTGAAGTTCTCTCCTTTTCAGTACTAGTGTCCATGCTTGGCTGAGAAGGGAGTTTTTTGGATACTCTCTCACTGGTCTTGGCATTTGATGTTTCTGTCGAAGCCCTGGCTGCACTAGCTTCTTGGTTAAGAGAAGTTATGGTTTCCAAGATTGACATGGCATCACTGGCTACATTAGCACTGGGTCCAGGAGTTGGGATACCTTTGAGGAAAAGACAAATATTAGAAAAAATTTATGCAAGGGCACCTTGATAGCTGTTGATTGAATGGCCGACTCTTGATTCTGGCTCAGGTCATGATCTCAGGGTCCTGGGACAGAGCCCCACATGGGGCTCCATACTTGGTGGGGAGTCTGCTTGAGGATTCTCTCCCTCTCCCTCTTCCCCTCCCTGTGATCGTGCGTGCGTTCTCTAAAATAAACAAATAAATAAATATTTAAAGTAAAAAAAGAAAAAATATATGCAGAAGGTAAGCCCCTCTGAATTAATGCTACAAGCCACTATCATCTTTATAAGACACACATGCTATAAAGGCCATTCATATACCTTTAGACTTTCAGATACCAGTGCTAATACCTAGCATATTATAAATTCTCTACTGTTCTAATACTAAATCATAGGAAAGCTACCATGCAAATCTGGTAATTCTCTTTAGTTTAAATTTTAATTATTCCTTCTATTGAAACACACACACATACATTCAGTATATTAGTAAAATGTCTATTATTTTGCATTATTGTAAAAAAGAAATGTTCTGTCAGTTGAGGAGTATAGGGGATATTTAAAACAAATATAATTTCACTAGAGTAGCCAAGGAGAGATGTTTTAAGGAACTAAATAACTCTAACTTGATACTCAGTTCAAGAAGCAAAGCAATGGAACTGACCAAGAGTAAAAACAAGGCACCTTGTGTAATGATGGAAGAGTCTGGTTTCTCATCATCAGGGACTGTACTGCCACTTGCTTCCTCTTTGTGATTTAGTGTAGCCAAAAACTCATGCACAGCTTTCTCCACTTGAGGTCTAAATGTGTGGTTGATCTTTGGATCCACAACCTGAGAAATAATTCGGTCAATACCAGACTCCAACATTCCTGATCTGAAACACAAGGTAATTTTTACAGAGAGGTAAACAATTTTTTTTTTTACTTTATCTGCATTAATTACTTTTAAATAAAATTGTTATCTATTACATATATGTTCAACCTTAAATTGCCCCAAACCACTCACCTCCATATATGGAGAGAACAGGCAGTGGGAAATATACCACACTACAAGAAAGTCTGTATACCTTTTACCACCAGTGTCACAAGTGGAAATACTGAAGTAGACAAAATAAAAAACAAAACGCCCTTAAAACTAGATACAATACACTATATCTAGAGCCCACACTTAGAAGTGATGCGTACCTTACCCTAACCCTGGCAGGGCATATGGGAGTAAATGAACATAAAAGCTGAGTTCTGGGTATAAAATAAACCTATGGACTCTACAACTATTTTTTTTTTAAAGATTTTATTTATTTATTCATGAGAGACACACACACAGAGAGAGGCAGAGACACAGGCAGAGGGAGAAGCAGGCTCCACGCAGGGAGCCCGACGTGGGACTCGATCCCGGGCCCCCAGGATCACGCCCTGGGCTGAAGATGGCGCTTAAACCGCTGAGCCACCCGGGCTGCCCCCCCCCCTTTTTAAGCAGAAATATGTAAGCCTTTTATAAGTATTAGGATCTCTAGAAAAACTGAAGAACACATACAGAGTATAATTTCATCAAACTTACCAAAAAAAAAAAAGGGGGGGGGGCAAGCAAGCAAGCTTTAGAAAAACAAAAATAAAACCTAAGACTTCTGGCTTTCTTTGAATATCTTCCTGCTATAAAAACTTATGATTTATTCATTCAACAATTATGAGTGTCTTCTTAACAGGCACCATGCTAGTCACTGGTTCTCTACAAATCAGACCTGATCCTTGGTCTGGCAGGAGAGATAGACACAAACAATTAAAATACCAGGTAATAGGCATTACAATACACCATATACTGTAGGGAAAGAGTGGAATAAAGAATCACTAGATATGTTTAAGGTAATCTGGGAATGCTTCACAAAGGGGAGACATTTGTACTAAGCCTTGATTTGCACACAAAGAAGAATGGGTTTAGAGAGATAAACACAAGAGACAGAGGAGCAAAGGAGACAACAAAGTCTGAAAGTGCAGAAAATCACAAAAGTGTGAGTAAAATAAGAAGACACAGATTTAAGTAATGTACCTAAAACTTATTTCTAAAACAAAACACAGCAAAGTAGACCGAACCACCTGAGGAGCTAATGTTCCTTGGATAGTGCTGGAAGAGCCAGGGGCTGTCCATTCCAGCTTCTAGGCTTCAGGCTCTCTCTGCAGAATGGGGGGGGGGGGGTTCTCCTTATATTTTTACAATGTTATTTTTGAGTGCAGCTCTGTTTGGAGTAGAGGATGAATTTGATTTCCATTTCCTGAGGCACTTTGCTGCCTTGTGATACTATGATTTTACTTATGTGGGCCATAGAGAAAAATGAGTCAACACTGCACAAAGTAGGTAACCTGCTTTTTAAAGTTCTAAGACTGAAAAAAAAAAGCGCAAATCATACAAACATTGTTATATCTTAGAGGTGCCTTCAAAATGTAGCAGGTGGAAAAGAAAACAAGGACAAGCAAAAATGTTTTAAGGCACAATGCAAAGGTATCACATAAAAAATAAAACCCACCGACCCTAAAATTATTGCTGTGGCCTCTCTCTGCCTATATTCCAGGTCTTTGTCTACTTCAGTCTAGTCTCCCACTGAGGTCAGCTCTTAGTGGGCTTACTCGAGTGCGGTGTGGTCACAGGTGCCTCACCAGAAGGGAGAAGGCGAAGCCCTGTATCCATCTAAGGACAAAGGCAAAAGCGCCAGTAGGTGGTATTTTCCTGATTAGAGCTCCTTCCTTGTTTTCCTTTTAAATTATTCAGTTAAGATCACTATTTAGAACTATCTAGCTAGCATTTTAGGTTCTGCTGTTCAAATGAATGCATAAAAAGACTACTAGATGTTCTGGTAGCTGAAGAACACCTGACAGTGGATGCCCGGGTCTATTCCTATGCTCTGGCACTGAAACATGCAAAACACAAAGCCGTTTGAAGTTTCTTTCCTGAAGTTTTAAGGCCAAAGGACAGTAGCTCTTTTTTATAAACAAGACCACCAGGCCTCCTTCACTAAGTCTTTGTATTCAGCCTAATGTAGATTTGAAATTAGCTTTTTAATTAAATAAAAGCCAATGCAGAATACATGTGGTGATATGGAATTGTGATTACAGGTAGGCTGTAGTCTTCATTTAAATACTAAACTCTGGCAAATATTGAGAAAGAACATAAATGCAGATACCCAGTTGTTTTTTTTTTCAAAGTGTCAGAATACCAATGATTAAATCGAACCATTCAAAAGTGCTGATATTAGCCAGGTTTTGTTCCACAAAAATGGCAATTGTAGATGGTTCAAGCTAATGGTCAACTGAATATTTCTCAAAGTCTCTGTGTGAAAAATTGTTTTGAAATTGTGTTTATAGGGGTTAGTCCCTTCCTATACCAGTAGTTGGACACGACTAAATACTGTAGCGTCTTTCTTTAAGGAAACCTGAAAATGTTATAAACAGTAACATATAACTTTACTAATGGAATTTAAATGAGAGAATATTTTACTTAAAAATAAATAGCATAGCTAGAAAAAAAATTGACAGATGTCCCAAGTAGAGCAATGACTAAATTCTCCAAGAGAACACCCTTTCCTTCCAAAACATCTCTAGAAGCCAGTTCCGCATCCGCCACATAGTAACTGCTGGTAGTCACAAGAACCCATTAATGATGGGGTACAGCAACCCCTCACCAAACAAGATTCTGTGAAAATAACTTTTATTGGTGCTCTAAGAACTGTTAAGTGCTTGATTTTACAAGGACAAGAAACTAATAAATGACTGCTTCTCTCCTCTAGATTTTGTATGCTAAGCAGTAAATCAGCCTTCCAATTTAGTATCTTAACATATGAAAAAAAAGAATGCACCCCCCCAACCCCTGAAAAAACTGTTTTTAAAGCAATATAATCATTTGTGACAAGGGTGAAAGCACTCAGTAATTAGGAGTACTCTGTAGAAGTAGGGAGTGTGCATGACATTGTTGGTAGGCTTCCAGACCCAGTGCCCCCCATCCTCCCCCCTTGCTATTATGGCTACTGTTCTCCTGAAAACCCAGAGAGTAGTTACCCCTAGGTTTGTCTCCCCACACCCAACAGACCTCTACTGCCTCAGGTTTTCAGGAAAGGCTTTGGTTTTTCTCAGTCTTACAATGCAATCCTCCCTGGCAACTTTTCATCTCTCCTGGGCTTTTTAAAAGGTTCCTCAAACATCCTTTAAAATGTAGACTTTAAACCTATTGTTAAATTTCCCCCTTCTCAGGTGGTAGGAGACAGTCTGAGCCCCCAGGCTCCCAGTTTCTAAGATTACCTGGGGCTAAATGGCTCTTTGAACCAGAGTATGCAGTTCTGTTTGTGGAGTTTCCTGCAGGTACAACTATCAGTGAAGTATGCACACTATAGGCTGTCAAGGTTCCTACGGGAGAAGAGGGTATGAAGAGGTGGCAGGGAGAAAATGGATTTGCTTAACAGTTTAAAAGTCACATTTCCTTCTAAAAGATGGGCTTGAACGAAAATTTTTGTCAAGAGAGGAAGACTAGGCACTCTTTAAATAACAGGCACCCCTTCAGCTGGGAGGGTGAAGCAGAGATCCAGTGTCAAGGTCTTCTTGTCTTGGCAAATATTTATATTCAAGAACAAGATAGTATTGTAAATCTGCTTTTTTGGGAACAAATATGGTGGGGTTTTTTTTTAGGTCCCTCTAAACATTTCAGCTCTTTTCATTCTCTTTATCTTATGTTTACTCAAAAGTGGCTCTGACAGGTCCCAACACACTTTCCTTTTTTTTTTTTTTCCCATAGCATCACTAAAAAGCAGAGTTAAAAGTCATAGTTAAGTGCCAAAAAAGGTGGTGGTGGTGGGTGTATTAGAAGATAGAAGACACAGCCTCAAATCAGATCAGAGGAAATTATTTTAATTGCAATAATCTAGAATATCTTTTTTATTTGTCAAAGAGCAAGAAAAAAGCCTGATTTTTTAGGGTTAAGAAAATGGTTGTGAATGAAGATATTCTGGCACTTATCATCTATTAATCTATTTTAATTATCTATTAATATTCTACCCTCTGGTTTTTTGTTTTGTTTTAAGTCACATTGTCATCCTTTCCTTCAGGTATTTCCACAGGTCTACAGGAGAAAATCAGACTAAAATTTATGGAGGAATGTGAAGTGAATTTTAGAATTCACTTTAGAATTCTAAAATTTAGAATTTTAGAGCTCACTCTAAAATTATACTGTAACATATATAAAGTGGCCAACCAAACTTGACAAAACATCATCAGACTTCCATGTAACGTCTCTGCCTTCCAGGGTAGGTAGACATTGTCAAGCTAGCCTCCAGGCTGAGACCTACTTGAGCACTTGCTGTCTAATGTTGTTTCGTAGCTGGTTCTTATTGAGGTGGGGACTCCAAGTATGAGTTGCCAAGTGGTTCGCAACAAAGTTGTCAACACGTTGCCTCAGGTTCTGGTAGGCAGGCTGGAGAGGAAAAAAAAAAATGTTAAAAAATCTCCAATGTTATACAATATCAATATTTACAGCCTCAGGAATTTGAGAATCTTTAAGTGTTATTTTTTTTTAGATTACAGTATCAATGTGGCAACTAAGTTTCTTAGTTTAGGACCATGCCACTTCAGGACAACTGAAGACATTCAACTGCTACTTATTTTGTCTAAGACACAATGTTTGGAGATGTAAAGAACACAAAGAAGTAAGACAACCCTCTTATTTATATACAAGGGACTAGAAAACAAGACACAGATATTAGTGTTAGCTGATTTGGAGCAAAGAAAAGGAGAGGAGTAGAGGAATTAAGTCTTCATTGAGAACAAGGCATTTGAGTTGGACCTTCAAGGTTTCCCCAACACAGAGCTGATAATTGGAAAGGTGGGCCTTGCACATACAGCCAACAATAGAAGCAAAGACCAACTGGACGAGAAAACGTGGAGGTCGGGTGGGTTTGGAGGCATTCAATTTGTTTGGAGAAGAGAATATAAAAAAGGAGTGATATGAGGTTGGAGACAGCTTGGGGGCGGGGTTTGAAGGGCTTCGGGTACCTATATAACAAGACTGGGATTAGGGGGTTTAGAACTGGAACCCACTGCACACAAGCAGAGTGAAATGTGATAGCTGAATTTTCTGATAATCAATCTTCTGATAGAGGGTAAAGAGACACAAAATATACTTAGAAAAGGATGCAATAACTCCAGTGATGAAGGTCTATATTAGGGTGGTAGAAATGGGCTGAAAGGCATGGAACCAAGAGAAGTTATAGAGGGCCAACACTAGAACTAGGCACTAAATTTGATGTAAGGTAGTTGGGAATGATTTTGTCCCCTCCACCCCAGGGGACAATCAACAGATGATGTCTGGAGACGTTTTTGGTTGTCAAACCTCAGGGAGCTGCTACTGGTATCTCGTGGGTAGAGGGGAGAGATGCTGCTGAATAGCCTAGAGTGCAGAGGGTAACCCAGAACAACAAAGAACCATCCAGCCAAAAAACATCATCAGTGCTGAAGGTGAGGACCCCTAAGGTAAGGGGAGCAGGAGAGAAGACACAGATTGTGTCACTTCTTAAAAGGAAGGAGTATTTGACCACTCCAGCAGGACTGCATACTCCATTCATAGAGGCTCCTCTCACCGACCCCCCCCCCCCCCGCCCTCCAACTCATGTTTTCAATCTACCAGGTCTGCAAAGAGGGTGGAGGGCAGGGGGGCCACTCCTAATCTTAACTTCTATCACTTTCTCCTTCACCAGATTCTGCCTCAGTCCTTCCACACTGACTGGTTTCTACTTCGAATGCTCAGCTCCATATAGCTAGATGGCTCCTTCAGGTCCTTCAGTGATGGCTCAAGTATCACCTTACTGAAATCTTCCCCGGAAAACTTACTGAACACAAATCAGCAACCCTTTCTACCCTCACCCTGCATTATTTATTCCATAGAACCTATGACACATTACTTCCTGCCTGTTTTTCTCTGCTGGGATGCAAGCTCCATAACAGCAGGGAGGTTTTGTTCACTGCAATATCCTGGCATCTAACACAGTGCCTGGTACATATTTGTTGGGTGAATAAATATATATGCTCTTTGATATTCCTTTCAAATCTAAAAAGAAAAAGGCAATAATCACAGTGACTAGAAGCCATTTGTAACTGAGAAAGTATCCAAAAATCGGCCTCTGTTACTTGGGGAGAAAGGCTGGTGAGCTCCCTGCCTGGGACAGAATGATGGGCCTCTCTTGATCTTCCCTCTCCACTCTCCAGTGTGACCTCAGAACAAAAGGGTCAGAATAGCCTTGTAATCTCTCCGCTTGCTCCAGGAATCTGGGAACTAGGAATCTATACAGCAGAGGAGCCTCAGCAGTAGTTAGATCTTGATGTCCAAGGCTCCAATTCTTTGGGTAGAAGGCTGATTTGGTCTGCTATGGTCAGTCCTCTCTTGGTTGGTTAAGGACCATCAATGACCCCAGGATAGTTTGGAGGGTTTTACAGTCTTGTGGAGTGGCAGCAGACTATGGAATTTCTCATCTTGCTTTAAACACACAGGACTGGATGACAGTTTTGCTCTTGGAAAGCGCCTGATAGGTATTAAATGTCTTGATTTTTAAGTATGCATGTGACTGACACTCCAGTTACTGCTACAACCCTATACAGTATATACTGCAGGTCAGAGTTTGACATAAAGCAGGTCAGTCTTCAGGGTGTCAATTATCAAAAGCACCATACCACAAGTGGTCTCAATTATAAGGTGTTCTTACAGCTGAGACTCAACAGTTCCATTAAAGTGATGCTCCTTTGCATGAGGGAATCTTATGTCTATTCTGGCCCATTCATCACATTGAGAGGATGTTGAGCTCATATGAAAAAAGAAAAAAAAAAAAAAAAAAACCCTTGGCTTCTGTATGTTTTCTGAGACTTTCAAACTTAAGTCTTTTTTTTTATTTAAATAAGGAAAGGAAGTATAAGATGCTACAAAATAAGAACAAATACTTTAAATTAAAATCTACATGATTGTAAAGCTACAGAGGAGGAAGACAATCATGGGAGAAAGCAGCAAGATAATCAACCAGAAACAGCAGGCACAGAGGTAGAAAGACAAAGGGAAAAAGAGGGGAGGCATCAGGAGTGAAGAAAGAGACATGAGAGGTGAGGAGAGAATTTCCACCATACCCAGGCTTCCTCTTCTGCCAGGGAAGGGCTATCATTTCAGTTCTACTCTTCTCTAGTTTCAAACATTAAAACAAGGGACCTTATTCTGCGGCCACTGAACTCCTTGAAACTATATACTAGGTTGAGCCATGTGTAATTGATCATAGTAAACCATTTCTGAATTATAAAGACTGTATTTTAATGTGTACATGTCCATTTTTCTTAGGAGATTGTAAAGGCAACTGTGCTTCCTTCCTTCCCACCAATAAAGGTTTTAAGACTCCACTTTGAGAGGATGTGGCAGGGACATTACCAACATGCAACAATAACATTTAGTGGCAACGAGATGAAGAAAAAGTTGAGCCTTAGATACTGTAGTGCCTCCATCAGCATATTTAAGTTTCCAATGTGGGTACACAAAGACAAAATACAGACAGATCTCTAAGTTTCTGAGAACAGCAAAGTGAGATCTCTGCTTGCTCGGTACAAATAACCAGCTTTGGGTAACGTCTACCTGGACTTGTCTGATCTCCCATTAAGGAAAAAAAAAAGGGGGGGGGGAATTGGCATTATTCTCAAAAAGACGGCTGCGCAAATTCCCTAAAACAAAGAGGGTAAACTATATACTTCCTACATAGAAAAACATCCCCAGGCATACTGGATTCTCTGTGGTGTTAAAACCCCAACACTGTAAACAGGTGCCCTTCTACTAGGTCTACAAGGTGGACCAGGGGGTATCCCCAGACTGCCCAGAGGAGACAGCAGAATCGCGTGCAGTTTTCATTCGATCCTGGTGTGAACTTTGCATCTCCCGAGGAAGAATCTGTGGAATCTGCAAACGCTCTTTTCTCAAAGACATGGGGTTTCCTCAGAAAGGCTGAATGTGGGACGCCCGGGTGGCTCAGTGGTTGATCCTCTGCCTTCAGCCCAGGGCGTGCTCCTGGAGAGCCGGGATCGAGTCCCAGGTCGGGCTCCCTGCATGGAGCCTGCTTCTCCCTCCGCCTGTGTCTCTGCCTCTCTCGCTCTCTCTCTCTCTCTCTCCTCTCTGTGTATTCTCATGAATAAATAAAATCTTAAAAAAAAAAAAGAAAAGAAAAAAGAAAAAGAAAGGCTGAATGTGGGGCGGCCCGGGGGGCTCAGCGGTTGAGCGCCGCCTGCAGCCCAGGGCGTGATCCTGGGGACCGGGGATCGAGTCCCCGCAGGGAGCCTGCTTCTCCCTCTGCCTGTGTCTCTCACGAATAAATAAATAAAATCTTAAAAAAAAAAAAAAAAAAAGAAAGTCTGAATGTGCTGAGAAAATCTTCATCCTACCAAAACCCCAATCCGAAGGATCCAGCCGGATATAAGCCAAAACCTCCAACTCTGTTTCCAGCTGAAGCTTCCCGCCTCACCCGGTTTCCAGAACGCGACTCCTTTCTCCCTCCGGCTGCTCCCTCCTGGGGTCCTCGGCTCCTTCTCTGCAGCCCCGGCCGAGGGTGCCGGTTCCTGCTACCTCCCCTCTCACCCCGACCGGCATGCGGCACGAAATCCTTGCCCCTTGAGCCCCTCTTCCCGCACGAGGAGGCCCCGGCTGGCTTCTCCCTCCTCCCCGGCGCTGTGCACATCGCCGCCTTGGGCCCCGTCCTTCCACGCCAATCTCCGCGGCCCCCCGTCCTCCTCCTCCACCCTCTCCGCACTGAACGGCTCGCGTGGCCGCATCCCCAGCCCCTCGTCACTTGAGAGCAGCGACCCGGCCTAACCCACCTCCACCCGGCGGCCGTCTCCGGGGGAATCGCGGTCCCGAGCCTCCTGCGCCACTTTTCCGCGTGCGCCCGGCCGCCTTGCCTCAGCGCGCACCCCGCCCCCCCCCGGGTCCAGCACCGCGCCCTGCCGACGAGTGGGCGCTCTGCCACTTAACGGTCCCTCCAAAGGACGCACACGGGGCTCTTACCGCCCAGGAGGCCTCGGGACGACCCAGAGTCCCCTGGATACAAAGAAGCCGCCACAAGGAACCACCCGACGTGGAAGCCCGTCAGTGCTTCCGGGCGCGCCGCCCTGGAACAAGCCCTGGCCTTGCCGCCCGCTGTGCCCCCCGCGCGGACGCGGCCCCGCACCCCGGGGACGCCGGGCACCAGCCGGCTAAACGGCCGGGCGGCGGCGAATGAATGAGCGCGGCGAGCCCAGCGCCGCACCCCGCGCCGTGGGCCGGCGGCCGCTCGAGCAGGACCCGGGCGCGGAGGCCGGGAGTGCCCGAGGCGCTGGCCCCCGCCCCCCGCCGCCCGCCCCCCGCCCCGTGCCCGCAGCCCCGTGCCCGCAGCCCCCGCGCGCCCCGAACCTTAGTGTCCACGTCGGCCAGGCAGTCCCGGCGGAACTGGTCGAAGAGCCCCTGGCTCTTGAGGTGGTTCACGATCATGGCCACGAGCTGCGGGTCCCCGGCGCCGGCCCCCGCGCCACCCGCCGCGCCACCCGCCGCGCCACCCGCCGCGCCACCCGCCGCGCCCGCGCCCGCGCCCGCGCCGGGGCCAGTCCCGGGGCCCGGCGGCGGCGGCTGCGGCGGCTGCGGCGGCTGCGGCGGCTGCGGCTGCGGCGGCGGCGGCGGCGGCGCCGGAGGAGGCGGCTGCGGCTGCGGGTTGGTGGCCATGGAGGCCTGGGCCGGGGAAGGCGCGGGCCCGGGCGGGCGCTCCGGGGAGGCGGCGACTGCACCGGTCCCGCCGCCTGAGGGAAGCCAACGGGATGTTGTGACGGAACCAGCGGATCCGGAGCAACCCCGGAAGCGAAAGGGAACCAGGGGAAGAGGCGAAAAGGCGGCGACACCACCAAGGACCGTGCGGCGACGGGGGCCGCGAGGGGCCAGTTCCGGCCGCCCGCGGGCGCCCTCGCGAGGCCCGGCTGCGGCGGCGGCGGCGGCGGCGGCGGCGGCGGCGGCGCCGCGGAGGCACCGCGCGGGGCCGGGGCCAAAAGGCGCGGTCCAGGAGTCCGGGGTGGTCGGGCGTGGAGCCACGCGACTCCTCGGGCCGGGTGCCGGCTGGGCGCCCGCGGGGACTGGCCCGGCGCCGCGCGCGGTGGCATGTGGCCTGAGGCTCTTGCTCCTGCTTCACGGAGCAGCCGAGGTCCACACTCGTTCACGGCGCCAACCGCAGGCGCCGCTGCCTGTCTGATGTCTGAGCTGGCCTGTCCGTTTCCCGCGTCACAGGCCCCGCTTGCTTCCGAGCAGGTAACTCCGAGCAGGTGGCTCCGAGCAGGTGGCCCCAGGCAGGTGGCTCCGAGCAGGTGGTTGCAGGGGCCTCCCGTCCGTGTCCCCGCCCCCCCCCCCCCGCGTTCCCGTGGGCGTCGGCGCTCGCTCTCCCGAGTGTGCCTGCGGCTTTTAGTTCCGAGGGTCCCCCCCCCCCATCACTCTGATGGTAACAGGTGAGGCGGATACGGCTCGCGCTCGGGCCCAGGCAGGGCGCTCAGGCTGCAGAACAAGAATGACCTAGTCTTGGTACCGTCCGCAATTTGCAAATCAGGAAGCCAAGGCCCTGAGACCCTTATTATTATTTTTTTTTTCAGGTTTTTATTTATTCATAAGAGACATACACACACACACAGAGAAGCAGGCTCCATGGACCCCGGGATCACGCGCTGAGCCAAAGTCGGCAGGTCAACCGCTGAGCCGCCCAGGTGGTGCCCTGAGACCTTCAGTAAAAATGCCAGAGTTTATAGTAGGGACAGCAAGACGATCCCCTGATTCTGGACTGAGGTTTTTTTTTGTTGTTTGTTTTGTTTTGTTTGTTTTTAAATTACTGTTCTTACAATGTGAAAGCAAAATAGTGTAATATTTTCGTGATTCTTTAGTCAACTGTAAAGTTTATTGGAAAATGCATCTCGGCGAATTGGATGTTGTTGCTTTTACAAATCTATATGTCTGTGGATGAATATGTCCTATTGGTGGAAAAAGAAAGAAAGGCTGAGCATCTCCTCCTCCTCCTCCTCCTCCTCCTCCTCCTCCTCCTCCTCCTCCTCCTCCAGTTGTATGCCCTGAGAAGCTGCATTCATATAAACAGACTTTTTCAGTTTCTGGGACACATAACAAATAGACTTTATTAAAGTATCAAATGACTATAAATGAGATTTTTTTTTTCTTTCTTCAATGAGATGTACCTTTTTAAACCTGATATACTCAAACGTTTGGAGAAAACTGGGACGCCTGGGTGGCTCAGCATTTTAGCACCTGCTTTCAGCCCAGGGAGTGCATGATCCCGGAGACCCGGGATCGAGTCCCACATCGAGCTCCCTGCATGGAGCCTACTTCTCCCTCTGCCTGTGTCTCTGCCTCTCTCTCTCTCTCCCTCTCTCTCCCCCCACCGTGTCTCTCATGAATAAATGAATAAAGAATCTTTAAAAAGTTTGGAGAAAATCTAGACATTGTACATTGTCATAAATGGTTTTAGATAAATTGCTTTTTAAAATTTTGTTTCCTTAGCCGATTATTCAGTTTTGTTTTTGTCAGAACTTTGCAGATAATGATACAGCTCATTCAGGTTGAAACTTTGTCAAGCATGCAAAATGTTTGACATATACCCTAATTAACAGAGCCTGTTTTCATGTCAAACTAGCCAAATTGGATTTACTTTCCATGAGAAGCAGTTTGGCTTCATTGTTTCATCTTCTTTTTTTTTTTTTTTTTAAGATTTTATTTATTTATTCATAGACACAGAGAGAGAGAGGCAGAGACACAGGCAGAGGGAGAGGGAGAAGCAGGCTCCATGCAGGGAGCCCGATGCAGGACTCGATCCCAGGTCTCCAGGATCACACCCCAGGCTGCAGGCGGCACCAAACCACTGCGCCACCGGGGCTGCCCAGCTTCATTGTTTCAATTCAAATAAAGTGTCATGACTTTTGAGGATTCTAATGAAGACTGCAGAGAGAAAAAGTGATGGAATGAATCTTAAAAGATTGTTTACTAAAAGCAGTGAAGATTAAAATAGTGTAAGACAATTGTTTTATCCATTTTCAAAATTAGTACTGAAAATAAGATGCAAATTTGATGTTTCCCTTAATTATCAACAATGCAATACAATATGTTGCTGAATAATACGTTATTCACTTGTTAAGCGTGTAGAAAGACATGGCATTTATTTAGTATATATGGGTGCATGTATCATTTATTTAGCTTTTGGGGAATAACTAAGAATCATCCATAAAAATTCAACAAGACTCCGTAAATTTAATTAGGAAGAGTGATCAAACTTTGAAAAAAATATGTTGAAACAATAAGACATTTGCTGCTAAAAATAAACTGGTCCAGTGGCTGGTAAGTTTTTTGTTTTAGGGTCCTGGGTGGCTTAGTGGTCTGCCTTCAGCTCAGGTCATGATCTCGGGGTCCTGGGATCCAGCTTCAGGCTCCCTGCTCTGCAGGGTGTCTGCTTCTCCCTCTCCCTATGCCCCTCCCCCCTACTCATGCTCCTGTGTTCGATGATCTCTCTCAAATAAACAAAATCTTAAAAAAATTTTGTTTTGTAAACAACATATAGAAAATCCTAAATATTTTCTAAAATGTAGTAAGATGAGGGCAGCCCCAGTGGCTCAGTGGTTTAGCGCTGCCTTCAGTCCAGGGTGTGATTCTGGAGACCCCGGATCAAGTCCCATGTCAGGCTCCCTGCATGGAGCCTGCTACTCCCTCTGCCTGTGTCTCTGCCTCTCTCTTTGTGTCTCTCATGAATAATTAAATAAAATCTTAAAAAAAAAAATGTAGTAAGATGAGAAGTGATCGTAATTTAAATAGATGATTCACAAGTGATATTATAAAATGTGTGTTAACTGTCTTACTGCATAACACATTGAATTTAAAAGAAATAACAATATTTGTATCCATGGGTTCAAGTTACACTGGGTACATATATAGTAGATACAGTATAACTTGAACAGTTTTGCAGCCTTATAAAATAAGCTGGTTACATTGAACAGAATGAGGGGCACTGATCTGTACTGTTCAAAGATACTGTTCTTTACTCTTCAAGACAAGTCCTAGAGAGGAGTATTTTGAATAACTGAAGGGGAAATGGCATATATTTAAATTTAAAAAATTGTTTTAAGCAGTCATCATTTCTTACCCATGACTTCTTTGATCTCTCCTGTGACTTTCTTTAGAAACAGTAATATAATTTTGGCAATAGTGTGAGGTCTTGAAAAAAAAAAATTGCCATTGTTCCCCAACCCCATCGTCTGTGTCTGAATTCAGAACATTCTGACAAGAACCAAATACTTATCTCTCTGAAGGTGATTGACCTCTCATTTTGTTTCTAAAGTCTGATGCTAAGGTGATAGTTAACAAACTTCATTAATACTTTGCGGATGAAGGGAATAATACAATATGTTGCTAAATTTATATTATTTGTTATAATAATATAAATTGTTGTCAGTTATAACTTACTGATAGTCATTTGTACCCTTGGACACCATACTCCTGCCAAGTATCTGGCCCCTGTGATGTCCTCTCTTCTATAGACCAGCCTGCCTCACCCCTACCCCATCCTCTAAACCCAGTCTCTGAGGCTGATCCAGTGAAGGTCAACCATTGGTTTTGTAATAGGACTATCTCCTAACCCGCATCTACTGATTGGGCAGGATCATTTCCTTTCCCTCACCTCCCCAGGTCTTCCCCACCCAAAACCAGGCCTGAGGCCTTGCCTTTCATAATCAAAAGACTGACCAATATAATTTCCTAAATGGCCCTCCATCAACTGCAAAGCCCAGTTGAAACCTTGAAAGTTCATGTTTTCAATGACAATAGAACATATTTTTAGGTGGGGTTCAAGCACCTATTAAGGTTTTGTAAGGTTGTGTGGGAGAGAAGTATTATTTGCCTTTCCACCGCATACTCCATGCTCTCAGGTTTCCCTCTATTTCTGTTGCAGTATAAAGTCACCAGTACAGGTAGAGATAGTGGTTAGTCAGAGCATTATAAAATGTGAATGTGAGAAGGGGGGATTGATTGCTTTTTCTCTTGAAGGAACTTGAAAGAATTGCCACTTGCTCTGGGGTCAGGACAAAGGTAGGGTGGCACAGGGGGATGGTAGGTTAGAGGGGGAGAGGAGTGGTTCCACAGCAACATTTGGCGGACACTGGAAACCTCATTCCTTGCCAGTCTGGAAGCTTAAGAGTAGAGGTGCTTTGGAAATGGTGGCTGTATGAGCGCATGTTACCTGGAAGAGCTGCAGAATTCAAGAAGGCAGCTGAGACCTAGCTGATAGGAAAATGGATGATGGAGACTGGGACAGCAAGATTGTAGGAGTGGCAGCAAAGAACCAGGACTGGACTACATAATAAGCCCCTGGTATATTGGGGCAAGAACTCCAGAGGTGGAGAGAAATCAGGAGGGGGGCGGGGAAGGGATGCTTTCTTATGAAGTGGGATATCAGTCACCATAGTTATTCATACTTTATGCAATGGGAGAGTCCTAGTGTGGGTAATCTGGAAGATTAGCTGTGGTTCTCAAACTTTTGCACGTGTCAGAAATCTCCTGGAGGGCTGGTCAACACACAGTGCCGGCTGCTTGCCCAGGGTCTGATTTGGTAGGTCTGGGACAGGGCCTGATACTTTGTGTTTTCAACAAATGTTGGGTCACCATCTGAGAAATAACAGACTAGACAAGCCACACCCCACAGGCCTAATCTGGTTTACCTGTCTATAAATATTCATGGAACATAGCCATGCCCATTGCGTTTGCTTTGTGTCCATTGTCTGGCTGCTTTGGCTGCAAGTTGTATGGTTGGCAAAGGTGAGACAAATTACCATA